AAATTAAAGATGGCGAGAAGTGTTTATCGGGTGTTGGGAACTTTGAAATATCTTCATCTTCATCTTTCTTTCGTCTCATTCCTCGTCTTCTTCTTTCTCTCCTGTTCTCACCATATGGTCCCACAACATCAACAAATATAATAAAATGATAATACCTTCAAGAAAAATGATGTGAAGAAATGATTTTTTTCACAGCCATGATAAAACACACCCAGTGTTTTGCATCAATTATATCTGTAAATTCTTAAGTACCTTTTCTAGCTTACGTCAGTAGGCCAATACAGATGAAGAGTATTACAATACTAAAAACACAATTTTTTCTCTTTGTACAATTATTTCCTTCAGCAGGCCAAAATTATTATACTTTTCTGGACTTTCAATGGTTGGGAAAGTATATGCCAAAGTATAGCCAGAACTTAATGCTGTCTTAATAAAGGCAGTGTCATTTCTCTTTGCCCCATATTTTTAGCCATGGTATTGTTTATTAACCATGTATCAAGCTTAAAAGAATTGAGACTAATTGTTTTGAAATTCAGGAATCTAAAAACGTTTTTATGTTTTTGTTTTGTGATTGAATGGTTATTAAAATACATATTAAAACATATTTTAGCATACTATTTTGTCTTAAATTATTTAGTATAAATGTTACATTTTAAACAGTCCTTTTCAATTTTGCAGGAGCAGCACGTCACAATATGTGAAATGTGCACTTTCATTCACATTCATTTAATAATTTTGTCAAAAGTCTTCCCACCTCAAAAGATAGAAAAAAGGCAAATTGAGCATTATGTATTTATACGTATGTATGAAAAAGGCAAACATTTTTAGGGACATTTTTCTACCCACCTTAGGCCATCTGCACATAACATTAAATTAAACTTAGCACCAATTGTCAACCAATATATTATATATGCCAAGACACTATAGCACAATTAAATGTCTCACAAAAAATAAAGTTAATATAATTATGATGTCCAAGTGTTGGATTAACTACATGAATTAAACCATCTGGTTCAAAATTTGAAGTAGGTTTGAAGTTTGCTTTTCCAAATTTATTTTTCTGTGAAATGTGAAAGTTGTTAATCTCTGCAAGTTGATGGATGTGTGTTTCGATTTCAAGTATGGTTTAATATAAAAGGAACAATAAATTAAGACAAAATATTGAATAACAGTCCGTTTTTAAAATTATTAATTGTGTAATTTTAGTATAAATATGACATTATTTGCCTTCACATATCTGAGCAATTGGTTTTTATGAAAATATTAAAGTAAGGGCTTCACAACAACTATTAATTAAGAAAACCAGCTGGAAAGGCTAATAATTGAATTGGTACAAAAAATATTATTTAATTAATTAAGAGAATAATTTATTTCCAAATATCTGTATAAATTTGCAATGTCAGTAACAGAGGAGGGCACATACAAAAGTAATTCAAAATATCAAATGGCACAAATGAGTCCTCTCACTCAATCCATAGGACCACACAACAGAAACAGGTTCCAATGCTGGTATACAATTAATTTTGGCCTTCCCAATTAGAGCTAAAGCTGAATATCAAATCTGCTTTGCTTTCTTCCACAAATTAAGACTCAACAAAAACCAATTCACAATATGTTTATCAATCAATATTCTAACAGTGAGCAGCCTCAAAAGTATCATGGCAGTGTTTGCAAGACCAGATAAAACATGACTTCAATACTTAGTTTAGAATGGTAAATGTACAACCTGTAAAATAGTAGCCATACAACAAAATAGTACGCTTTTCACATGTATACTCCACAACCATTCCCATGAGAATATCTATTCAGTGCTCCACAGTCAATGGAATTTGTCGAGTGGAAGTTCTCTCTAAACAAATATGTGTTGCAAGAGATTTATTAGTAGTTTTAAACTGAAAATTTAATCTAAATAAAATAATACAAATAGAAATTTTGGTTTTGTACACAATTTTGTTAGTTTCACAGAGAGCAAGACTCTTAAAAAGTTCTGTAATTTGTCCTTCATTACTGAAGAGGTGCTTTCTTAACAGTAAGCTACAAAGATAGAAAATTTGTTTGTAGGTTTTTTATACACTTTCACAAATTTGATAACAATATTTATGAAGAAATATGAGTCATTATAAGAATTATAGTGAAAAGGAAGACATGCTATATCATTATTATAAACGGTACAAACAGGAGGGAAAAGGTCTTAGAAATAGTTTACATCTCTCGTGATTATTCGAATCTCCCAATTTTACATTTCTACAAAATAATTGCAATATACTATTCTAATTCTTCATTATAGAAATGTTTTATTTTTACAAAAGAACAATACATAACATTGTTTTCCAAAGGTGATACAAGTCCTACAAGAATCTTGGACTGCAAATTATGTTTTTTAGTGAAGCGTCAGCCCAAACAGTTCCATTAGTGTTTCACCACTTGATTTCAAAGAATTTAAAAGTGGTCATTAAAATTGTGCCTTTCTCCAGTTGCTATCATAATGGTGAGGGACATCGGAAAACCGAAGTCACACTAGATATCAAACCTCACATCTTCATCCTCTGAAAATTCACATTTTACTTTCTTGCTACCGTATGACTAACATAAAACTACCTCAAAAACAAGGTCCAACTTCAAAAGATGTAAAAAAAATTCAACACCCCATTCCCAATATATACATCATTTTAAATATTTCATCAGTTTTAAAATTTGATAAATGGAATTGGAATTTTATTTGGTACAAAACTGTATGCTACTAAAGAGTTCAAAGTTAACAATAAGATTGAAAAGCACAGAAACAAACATTTTTCATCTTAGAACTTTGAGTAGTGTGCTCATTATTTAATTAAAAATTCATTCTCATGAAATAGTAGTTTATAATAAGAACCTTTCCTTGAGAAAAATATATAAAAATAAATTGCATATTAAAATTTAAAATGTAACTAACAGTCAATCAATTATATAGCACTTTGCTTACTATATCTGATGCTTTCAATTTGTAAATTTCAAAACTACAAACAGTTTCCCCATCTTTCTTTTTGAAGAATTTCATTGGTTTTTTCCCCTTTCTCATCAATGACAATTTGCTTTGTTTTTCTTCCATCCCTCGATATTCTCTCATTATTTTCCAGCAAAATAACATAAAGCACATTAGTCTTTGTCTTTTGTTTGTGCTAACATGCTCAAAAAGATTTTCATCCATCTTACATTTATGTATAACTTCATAAAAGAAATGTTTTCTGGAATTCAGCTAGTAAAAATACTTAAAATTTAATGTCAATCAATCTATTAGAATAGAAACAGTTGAAATCATTCAATTTAAATTCAGATTCCATAATTAATAAGGTATAAGCAGGAGACATCAAGACATAGCAATCTTTTAAAGAGATGGGATTTTTGGAGGATGGGGAGAAAGACGGGATCATTGGCACATAAAAAAAGAGTAAATCTGGTAGTTCATTTCTCATTTTTCAGCCCAAAGAAGACAAACTGAGCTGCTCGATGAATTTAAAAAGCAAATTACTCATTTCAAATGAGTAATATATAGCAAAACAGACACCCATTCACAAAATATGAAAAATGTTATTAATGAAATAGTTGCCTTTATCTTACAATGGAATGCAACAGAAAGTATACGCATGTGACCACATTATTTTTTTATTTAAAATAATTAGAAATTCTATGGAAAACTAAATGCATGCGTTAACTGCTAGGAACAGGATTGCTCGGTATAAATACATATTTTCATATTTTTTAACAAGAAACATCACCAAACAGGCCTTAAAACGGATTTGTACCCGCTGAACAAACTTTTATATCTAGAATTGGGCCTTCCGTCCGCACAGCACAACACAACAGACTTAACATAGTGTACATAGTATATGAGTTTGTAATGTAGTTCATAGTATATGCAATGTTGTTTATGAGAAGCCAGTACATATGTGAACAGTGGCATTGCAAAGATAATGAGAAATTCATGGTGAGAGGTTAGAAGGAGTAAGGGAACAATGCTTCCTCCCCCAATCCAACATTTTGTGTAATTAAATTCAATCTATTGAAAAAAATTATCACATATTTATCACAACACATTACAAAAGAATATTCCTAATAGTTTGAAGCAGATGGCAATTCAAGAATAGGTTTCAATTTCTACATCCCAAACAGAAGGGTGTTTGTTTCTCTGCAGAAAGCACAATTAGACAATGGGATGTAAGAAATGATAGTTTTAAATCAAGATGTGCAGAAGCTTATCAAACATGAGCAAGCAAGTGGTTGCAATTTCTAGGCCCAAAGGTTATAGAAGCATAGTATTACACCGATTTTCTTTCTTTCTTTTGTTCTTTTCTTCAGACAGTCAATTCAAAGAACTTTTATAAGCCTTCTAAAAGGTTTTATTTGACTGGAATGATACAACTAGTAATAAATAGCAAAACATTTACTATTGGGTAAAAAATGTAATTATACCACATTATGGAAAAAATTAAAAATAAAAATGATTTTAATTCATTGAGAATCCCTTGGGAGAAATGACAACAAAAAACACACATGCTAGTTAACTAGTACCTGTTAAAACATATATTACTAGACATGTGACATGCAAATGTGGATTGTTATGACAGTAAAACTCTGGGTTTAAACAAAATTAGATTTGTAAACTTTTAATCTGCATTCCTATTTGAAATGTACAACAGGGATGAATTACTGGAGTAGATTTTGTTTTCAGGTTAACTTTTTATTTGTTAAAAATCAGAAAAGCTTTTCAGAATCTTGTTTAATATTAGTGATCTTTTAATTTTTTAATTTAGTGTACAATGATAAAAATAAGGGATAATAAGGAAAGCATTTGGTTACTCTATGGTTATTGCACAAATTAATTGATAATAAAGAAAATAATAATACATTCCAAGATTCAATTATATGAAATTTATGTTGTAGACCAATTAAATAAAAAATACAAGTATCAACATTAACAAATTTTTAATTTAATAAAACCAAAATAAAAAAGAATTGTGAATTATATTAATACATGCAGAAGTTCATGAATTCTTAAAAGACTTATTATTATTATTTTAACATCTCCACAATTTTCTAAATCACTAAACTTTATTTTTATTGCACTCAGATATACATCAGTGAAATAAAAACACTTCAAAAAATTGACTAGAAAATAAAAGCTATTGTTTACATTTTAATGACAAAACTTTCATAGCTGCCAATAAAAACAATTTTTTATATACATTAGCAAATATATACTTTCTATACATATCAGCATTTATATTTAATTAGTAATCTGGATCAAAAAGGAAGGTTTCATTGCCTATTTATCACCACAACTAAAAATTCAATCTATTTATTTCAATCAACATGTGTTCCTATTGATTTACAATTAAAATCCTATTATAAGTAAAAAGACTTAAAAGGCAGTGACTTCTTGTAATTTTGCACTTTTTTAACTTAAATTATATTGTCATCAATTGATGTAAAGTAGCATGTTGCAATTTCCAATTCGGAAGGGCATGAACAATGCTCAATTTAAGCTACGAGAATAAATCTCAACAATAAGAATATACTTTTTGATTAGTTTCATTTTTTCACAAGAAGGAACAATTGCACAAATTGCTTTAGAAAGTAAACAGTCTGAAGCCTTCCCTAATGCGCAATTCAAAATTTTAACAGCCCCCAAGTAAATGACATGAAAACTGGTTCAAGGACACCAGAATTCAAAAGGCAACTCTTCTTTAGGATAGATAGACTTCATAACAATGATATCCACCAATACTAATTGCATATTCTTTCTGATTAAACCCCTTCTAACATTTTATTTTTTGCTTACCACATACAATGAGTACATGTTAAAATAAATAAATAAATTAATATTTCCAATATTTTCATGCTGGGTTTATACAAAATCTGCTAAAAATTTATGTAAGAAAGTAACTGAAAATATACATTTTATGAAACTAATAAGAAAATAACAAATGCCAACAGTTGATCCCATGTATTCTTAGGTATCACATTCCTTAAGGAATGTCCATGAATACAGAAAATCCAGCTTCATTGAAAATTCAGGATTATATTCCAGCAAGCTCACCTTTTAGGAGAAAGCGCTAGAAAGCCCTTAAAAAGCAAAATATGAAATGATTTCAATATTTGTTGACTTTTTTAATATACTAATAATTATTGTTAATAGAAATGAAAAAGGAGTCATGCACAACAATAAACTGCAAGCAATAGTTGAAGCAAGAATACAAAAAATTAATCCAAAGAATAAGTTTCTAAAGGAAAACGTTCATTAAATTTTAAAGGAAAACTCATTTTTACTTTGTTTGAAATTGTTATTAAAAATGTAGTGTATTCTTTCACGACACTCAGTTGTTTTTACCATTCAATGGTTTCTTTTTTTATCATTATCAATTATGAGAATATACAAGTACCTGAAGTGAATTTAGAAAGCTAGTACTGATCTGTTCCGAAACTGACAAAGAAGGGTGTTACAGTGTTTATAAATCATTTTGAATCATTGGTATCTAGGATTAATTTTTTGTCATGCACTGAAGAAAAGCAGAATATCTCAGTACTATTAATAAGTATGTCTCCAGTTCCTAGACACAGCTGAAAGCCCATTTCTTGCAATTATCCAAGACACATGTCTTTTCTTCTTCAATGTGATCTTTCCAAACAAGTTTTGGGTAAAATTCATTTGACTGAAAATCATGAGAATCCTAAAACTCAGAAAAGTTTCAGCACGGTACCAGCTTGAGTCATTCATCTTTATTAGAAAAAACAATTATCATTAAGGTATTAAATGATACGCTACGAATTAATTTTTGTAACTACTATTTTCAGTCTTATGAACTCGCTATCTCCCTGGAATAAATCTTTGTGCCCTTTCAACTTAATTGCTTTGCTTCAAAACATGCTCCCTTACCCTGTATTTAACGTCCAATTTCACCAACATTCCCCTGAAATTATATCATCAGCCTTGAGAAACAAAGCTTTATGTTTTTTCAATACAAAACATTCAAATTTCCTTTTACAAAAAAGAACACACTTCAAAAATATTTGTTTTTAGCATTTAATACTAATAATGCATGTAAGATTATCTTGCTCTCTGTGAAGATAGGAAAAGAAGGTGGAAGCAATATATCAGAGTAATCCTACTATCCTTTAGTTTCTTAGTTTCTTTTTAGAAAATACTCATGAAATATTTGTTCTATTCAGAGAACAACCACTTAACAACTGTGGCAACACCACTACACAGGAGGAGGCCCATACACATATCGCAGTTGTGGAGATAATGATAAACTTAGATTGTTCACACTCTCACAACAATGAGGCTCAAAAAAGCATGCCAAACAAATCAACGTGACCAATGTTAGCTGAACCGGAAAGGCTGCACGGGCAACTCTCCATACCCATGGCTGTCGCTTCTGCTCTTTAGATGTTTTTCCATTCTTACGAATGTTTCTTAGTTCAGAAGATGAGGTTCCAGATCTCCATTGATAAGGTTTAGAACGCACATCCAAATTTTTGCCGCTAAGAAGAAATAACAATATTAGTTAATAGTTTTGTGTGTGTATATATGGCCCAGAACATCATATATCACACATTTAATCACACAGGTCTAATTCTTTGTTTATTAATTAGCAATATTAGAATGTTTATTCACACACAGACAAGGCCTATAATTATAGCCTTTTGAAGTTGGGTTCAAATATGAATACTGAATGTTTGTACAAGACTGGCTAATTTGATTTAATTCTAGTGAACTCTCCCCAGAAATGCAATGGTTTCTATACACTCACCTCTAATTCAGGGGTCTAAATTGTTATTTAAACTGTATTTTATTATTATTAAGACTATTAAAGGATCTAAGCTATTCAAAGTCTCAAGCAATGATGACTGATTTATATTTTAGAAAATGTTAATTGCAGTTATGAAATATCCTTTTCAAAGCAATTCAAGGCAATTTTTTTTTTTGACTTACGAAAATTGTGAATACAAGAGAAATACTTTTGCTGCCATGTGATTTTCATTATTTTTCCCTATAATTAAAACCCTCATTTAAATGTTAATTTGCAACTTAAATTCTTTAAATGATACTGTTATAAGCAATTTTCATTACAAGATTTTTTCAACATCTTTTAATCTAAGAAAAACTCAAACAACTGTAGTCATGAAATGAAATCTATAGTTGAACCTCATTAATTGAAAACTATAGAATAGAGCTCTCCATCCTATGGCTCATGGACTGGATCTGTGTAGCAATTTTAAGTGGCCCAGCAAACAAATCCCAAATTTAAGTATTCTACATACATAAATATCAAATAAATAAATATTGAATATTGTTTGGATTACATATGTTACATTGTTGTGTTTACATGATTTTCCAATGAAAGATTTCAATACAATGAAGTTTGTCAACTTAAATTGTAGTTGATCGCCAAATGAGTTATAACTGTGGTTGCTTGAAGAGATATTCATTATATATGCACAATAAAATCTAATGCAATCTAGTCTTTTGAATGGTTTTAATTTACAGTGAACCAAGAATGTAAATGTAGTCCTTTTTTAAATTGGTTAGTTTTATTGTACTTAATTTTAAAACATTGTTTATGAGACAGACAAAACACCTCTCTCTTCAGCAAATTCGAAACAGCAGATTCAGCAGATTCAAATTATAGTCCAGTCAGCAAGTACTGCCAAAGGGAGGTTACTTGAAAAATGTCATAAAAACTTTTTCTTTGAGAATGTTGTATGTAGCTAGGCACTAGTTAAAATCCAAAGTTTTCGATCTCCCAGACCCCACGCTAACACCGGGATGCCCAACAAAACTGGTATTTTTCGAACTTTTTTTCAGGTATGTCCTTATAACTCTCTATTTGTAAGTCCTATGAAAAAATGAATCAAACCAATTAAAGAGGATAAAATATCCTACAACTTTTGTAAAAAACATTTCTTGCAAAACTGTTTACCAAGCAAGCTACAGCTCTTTGATAAAAAGCAATTTTTTTTTCTTTTCTTCAAAATGTGCACAAAAATACACACATTTTTATTATATTATAAACAACTTGTAATTTAAAAAAAAAATTATATATTTTATTATAATTTATCTCACCATCAGTGTCAACAATGCCCCACAAACATAACCATTGATGAAAATATTAATACATAATAAAATTAATAGGTGTATATACGAGTGTGTTCATGTTCCAGCTTAACTTTTCAACACAAAACAATTGTTATTTAAACAAAACTTCATATTCAGTATTACAGAGGAATTGCAAAGGGGAATAGAATATTGCGAGGGTAAGACACCTCTAGGGGGGGGGGGGGGACATTTATAAACAAAATCATTATTCAATCCCCAATATACCGGCCATGTGTAATGTGCACTGAGTGGGCAAAGTAGCCATGATGGGCAGGGCTGTTTAATAAATGATTAAGATGAATAAATAGATCCAATTTTAAAGAGAATAAAACTTAAGAGTTGGCACAAGGCTGAGAGGTCAAAAAATTGGGGTCAATTATGTGAAAACATTGGGCCTAGGTACATACAACATACCCAAAGAAAAGGCTTTTATTACCCTTTTCCACGTAAAATGTACTATTAGTAATTTTCAAAATTTGAAGTTGTGACATTATTTTTTTTAAATTAAGGGTGCTATGACAGCACATTCTTTGTCATATTATTATGACAGATATATATTATTACACAATTGCATTTACATACTGCTAATTATTCATCCATGTTGTAGAAAACTCTCTTCAGCAAAAGAAACAAGGGACATTCGAATATGTAATTTTCAGAAGTCCAGGTTTAATGAAAATTTGATTTAGAACATACTTTCCGTTTTATATCACTTTATATATCCACATTTTTATTCCCCCCACACTTACAATTAGTATTCTAAATGTGAAGTTCCTTTCTCTTAAAATTACAGAGACATCATTTTAAGAACTTATATTAATATTGTATTTTGTAACACAAAAGTTATTTGAGCAATTAATGTTAAGCGATTTTCAAATTGGCAAAGTTTAAATTACTGAGGTTCAACTATTATAATCTTCTTACTCCACAAAACAACTTATTCTACTTACTTTGTCTGAACTGTGGATGGACTAGTTTGCTTATTAGACTGAACATTTCCAGACACTTTGGCTTCAATGGCAGGAATTGTCTCAGGTGGAGGCAAACCAGACCATGATGTAGTTCTCACAATGAGCTTTCGACAAACATCTTGCAGCTGTTGTAGTTCTCTGTCTAAATGCTCAATTTGCTATCAAAAAATACACAGTTTTTTAGACTTAAAAAGAAAAGAACAAAATTTGAAAATAAAATTGAATAAGTTGTTGCATAAAACAAAACTGAAAATAAATTCAAATGAATCTATATTTGATAAAAGGACATCAGTCAGGAAAACAAATTATTTGGGAAATTGAAAAAACTGTTCAATATTAACACTATGTAGTTAATGGTGTTTTTCTAGTTATGGTATACTTGTAACGATGATGACAGTAAAAAAGAACATTATTAAACTAGATCTTAGATTTTTTTTAATGCTTTCGATTGACATTGTTTTAGCAAATACTGGAATACATTTTTATATTTTAACTTTGTAGTTTATTTTAATAATTCAAGTTTTGTCAGAGAATAGGGAAAAAAATATATATTACAAGTCTCTATAAGCATGTCATAACATTTTTCAAACATATTTACCAAATTAGAATTAAGGGTATCAAAAATTTTGCCATTAAGAAATGGTTAAAAATCAAAATCCTTTCTGCTTAACTTGAATTCCCTTTCTTCGTATTCGTAATCCACTACAGATTCTGTAGGAACTGGACACTGTAGTATATTCTCATAAAACTCCATACACTCCACAGGTATGTACTGTCTGATTTTCTCAATGTCTCACTTCTTTGACAGTTTGATTGGATCCTTTTCTGAAGGATACGCTGGAATGCCAAAGTGTATGTGATCATGAGTTTCACCAAGAATAAATGTATGATAGATGACACCTCTTATGTAATTGTACTCCCATGTGTATCCTCTTCTCTCAGAATTGTATTTGAGTTGGTTCAAATTGCTCACAGAAAATGTGACTTTCTCACTTCTTGGTTTGTGTTTTGCCTTTTCTGAGACAATTATCTTCTTGTACATGGGCTTCCACCAGTTCTTGAAATCAATAATATCGGATCCTGTGACTTCCTTTACTTCAAATTTCCCAGGATTTGCACTTTCAATAATATCTCCTGTCATTTCATGCATTACCAGTCATGCATTCCTAAGCACCAGTCTATGACTCAAAAACTCTGTTAGTATTTTGTTAAAAGTGCAGCCAGTCGGAGACTGATGTTACTTTAACAATTTACAATACTTGAGTTCTCTGAATATTAATACCACTTGCGGATATGACACCAAACTGTACTGTACTTGTTTTAGCACTAAACTGTAGATCCATCCATGAAGAATTCAGAATGCAGAAAACATCAATTTTCATAAAATAGGGGCTGACATTAATTAAGAAACATCAATTGAAATAAATACTACCCATTTTATTTCTATCAAAATTAATACTACCACAAAATTTATCAAACTCTATAATTAATACTCTAAGCTTCAGCTGATAAATACAGGGCAGTGACAACATTTGAAAAACAATTTTCCTTGACTTTCCCAATTTTCCAGATCAATCTGTTTTCCTTAATGAAATTACTTCAATGAAATCAGAAACAATTCGAACTAGGATGAACAAGATTTCAATAAAGAGATTTAATTAAGTGATTCGGATCAACTGCTGTTTCACAAAATGATTTACAACAAATTTTTTATACTTGACATCAACATTTCTTCAAATTGTACTGTTTCTTAAGGCTGTCATCGTAAATAATAAAAAATAGACAATATTTTTAATTAATTATTTGTTAATTACAAAAGTGCTCATTGGCAGTTTATATGACATTAGTAAGCTGTGGATTTTTGCCTATTTTTTTCCTTAAATTCTTTTTGTTATTTATTCATTTTCAGACCTTTTGAGTATTATATGTGAATTTTATAGAGTCTATCAATGCCTATTTCACTAATAAATGCCTATTTTGTGTTTAAATGCCTAATATTGCCTATTCTCATATTTATTGACCAAAATGCAATAATCCTTGAGGAAAAATTTTTTAAAAGTGTATGTTTTTTTCATTTTTATCCTGCAAATACAGACAAATAGAACCATCAATTAATCTATGATCCGTTTTACTGCCACTACAGTGCAAGTATTTCATATCATGAAATATGTGTAAAATCACTGGTGATTGTGGAGACAGTTTTTACTTCGAATTTTTAAACATTTTCCCCCTCTAAAAAGGCTTGAAATTTGTTCTTAAAATGTTCTCCTTGTGTGTAACAAAGGGCAATATAAAAAGTGATGCCAGTCACATTTATTTTTTTTGCAAAGTCTGGTTTTTAAAAAATTGCAAAAAGTTAACATTGCAAAAGTACAATATTGAATACAGTGATTTTGTTTTAAATGAAATGTTCTAAAATATCAGATTTAAAAAAGGTGATTTATAATTTTTTGAAAAAAAAAGAAGCAATTTTTGGCATAATTTCTGCTTGATAAAAAGAGTGATTTCTTGCATAATTTATGCATGGTGATAGAAAAAAATCATACTATGCTTTCAATTATGTTTAAATTAAAGGTGAGAAAAAATATCATTTTTGAAGCATTTAAGTATCAGCTTGCATTTAATGAAAAGCTAAAAAGTAGCCACTGTGATTCAGCTTTGATAGAATATTGACGAAAGCAAACATTCCATGAAGGTAACTTTACTATGTTATCTTCAGAAACTCATTAAACATGTACATAAATAAGGATAAGAAAAATTTATAGAGCAAATTTAAATGCCAATTTTTACATCTTAAAAACCTATTTTACGTTTTTAAATGCCTATTTACCTGCCTATAAATCTGCAGCTTATTTATTAGACATTTGAAATATATGAAAAAATCAAATTTTGTTTCCTGTTTATTGCTCGTGCAAGTTTCCTTGATACAAAAGCTCCCTAGTCCTCACCCAGCACTGAATAGCATGACACGTTGAGATAATTAGGTTAGTCTCGGAAAAGCCCTTACCAATTTACAATGCTGGCAACATCCACCTCGTACTTTCAAAACAATCGTAGCATTTCTCGTGGCATGCTTTGACAAGTAAAGTTCATGTCCACAGTTGGTACGCCCTTTTAAGCCATGATGTAGCCAGAGCCCTCCTCTCCCCGCACCCCCCGCTATGAAATATCAAGAAAATTTGTGTGTATAGTATATTCACTTTCCACAGTTGGTTTTTTTTTTCAGGGCCTAAACCAAACTGTAATTTTCAACAGGTAATGATCAGACAGACAATCAGCCCCTCTTTTTATACAGATGTCCATGATTTTCATGTGGAATGTCTGTCCAATAATGCTGTAATCAATAATCGATTTGAGTACTTAAGTACTTAGTGCCCATGTATACTTATGAATATCTTTGTGGGGGTAAAAGCCATTCAGTGTCTTTAGAGAGAACTGTTCACATATCCCAATTAGAATAGTACCATTTTCATTTGACATGTCTTCTCCATATTGACCTACTACTTGATCATTTACTATTTCTGAAAATCTTGCATTACAATTACCAAGTACAATTAAGTCTTTCATTTAATTTAGTATAAAATTCTTCCTTCACCAATAAGGTAGCGTAATTGTTATTATTTTTTCATTTTGGCACACCAAATTTTAAAATGTTCCTGCCATTTTTTATGTATCAAAATAGAGACTCCTGCCTTTGCTTGGTGATGTTCTTCCACACCACTGAAAATAGTTTAAAAATCTTTCCACATCACAGTTCCATTTCCCTTCTTTTTGGTTTCTGTTAGTAAGGCTACCTCAATTTTGTGCAATTTAAATTCATTTGTTACTTTCAGGTCTTTATTCTTTAACCCTTGAACATTCCAACATCCTAAATTTATTATCCATTTCTCTTTTCATCGTACAGTTCATGATTCTGAGATGTATGTATTTTGTAAGTTTGATTTTTTATGAAGAATGGGGAGTAGGCCCATCACTTCAACCCCCAATCTGGAGGGCCTGGGAATTTGATGTCAGACTTCCCATGCCCTAGGAGGATTGCCTTCCCTAGGCTTTGAAGTCCCCCTTTCTGCAAGGTTCTACCCTAATATGAAGAAAAAGAGAGATGGAAAAATAAGGAAAGCGCTTGAAAATCTAATAGCATTGGTGTCTAAAACAAACAAGAGCTGGTCATGAGAGGCAGATAGAATAGGCAAAAAGCATTGTGGCACAAGCAAGTTACAGATGCCACAATGGTAGAAGAGGGCACGGGGACACAAATGAGTCCTACTGAAGTAAAGGTTAAAATCTGAATGGGAAAGATATAGTAAGATATAGTTAAAAAAAAGAAAAAAAAGTGATAGGATAAAGGACATTTTGATGAATAGGGCGTTGTAGGACACAACTTTGTCTGGCTCCTCAGTTTTGGCCTGTCCGACATGGGTGACCCTACCAGTAGTCATGTGAACAAGGCATGCTACCGCCGGCTTAGCCCTCCACCTCACTGAAGCACGCAAGCCTCCCCGCCCGCACGGTCAGTGCTACTACAAGGCGGTGTCCCAAGGGGAAGACTTTTCTTAATTTGTTTAAGAATCAAAATGTTTTTTTTTTCTTTGATTGTATAAACAAATTTGATCACTATTTTTCTGTGTGGAAGTTGTTGACTTCACAAGATTTAAAACACGACAAGCATGTATTCAACATTCCTTTTTTTTCACTCTTCTTGGCACCATTAGTATCTGGGGTTCCCAGACGAACACCAGGGATTAGTGGTGACTCAAGCTGCTTAACCTGCATGACTTCACGGAGCACTGTTAAGCAGATTGACCACTGGCACCAGCAACAAAGTCACATGTTACCATGTGATATTGATGTTTACAGACAGGAGCCATAAAAGGGACACAAGCTGCTGTATGTCCTTGAAACAAGTGATTGAATTGAAAATTTGAAGTACTGAAATGGCATAATTGTTGAATAAAACTTAATTACTGCAAGTAAAAATTAAAAAATTTGTTTTAAATCACCAATTAAAACAACATTTGATTTACATTCTAGTTAAAATAAAGCCTCATCATATAGTTTCAAGCAAATCCTTTAAACTTCTCTATGTCATCTTGTGTACAGGGAAATGAAGAAAGATACAACAATAATATATGGGGTTACAAGGTTCACCTATTTCAAGATTATAGTTTAACAAATGTTAGAGAAGTAATGTAAAATTTCAACAGACAAGTTCTTTACAAACCTCATTGATTTGTGTAACCAGGCCATCTGATGCCCCCAGTTCTGTTTGCAAATGTTGAGCTAATTGCCGCAAAGACGCTAGTCGTCTAGCACGCTCACTTAATTCATTCTCTGAGCCTGAATCAGAAATTCCAGAATCTGATAGGGATCCTTCTCTTGTTCCAATACATGCTTCTTGCAAATCCTGAAACAAAAACCAACTCATCACAGATTGCAGAAGAAACAAGTTTAAAATTCGGTCTTACTAAACAAGACTTTATTTTTTCTCTTATAAAATTTTGAAGTGTCTTATGAAAAATGTCAAGTTATAATTGGGTTTAGATGAAAGTAATCAAAGAGAAATCAATTTAATTTTTAAAGAAAAAAAAATTGACATATCAACACCTCTCTTCCCCCACTGAACTGAATTCCTGTTCCAAAACCAATTCCTGAATCATTATCTCATATCATAACTGCAACAATTACTTTACATTTATATAATTCTTTAGAAGAGAATTTTGCTTTTTTAAAAGTTCTTGCTTAGCTAACACAAAACCAGTATGCAAACAAAAATGAGTAATTCTTGTTCTTATTTTGTCAGGAAAGAATATGAAACTAGCAGCATATATTCATAAGCTGCTAATTTTATATGGAACTTGCACCTCTGTATCACAATTGCACAATAGTGAATCAGAAACACTAAACACTAAATACTGATCCAGAGTTAAAAAAAAAAAACAGTTGAAACCAAGTTAAACAAGGCTTAACTGATATCACCTTACAATTTTTTAGGATTAAAAACACCAATTACAATGGCCAATTCTTTGTGAATTGTTTTATTTTATATTTCTACGCACAATTTGTTTAATTGATTAATTGAGTTAACCACAATGCTTTCCTGAGGATCACTGAAAACAGCAACACACCTGGCAAAGAGAAGAATGATTTCTGTCAGAAGAACCAGGAACTTCTGAAAGTAAGCGAGCAATGTCACGTATAGACACAGCTACATCCTCTACAGCAGTTGCTCCATCATCTAGTGACTTGCACAAACACACCAAGGTGCTATGATCTCCTTGTAGAGTTGTTTTCAATTCAGAAAGTTCTTTGTCAAATTTTTCCCATGTCTGAACTGCACGTTCAAACTGTGCCAATCGTGATGAAACACTGAAACAAATAATTGTTTTTTTTAGTATCTCTGAAATATCTTGAGATTTTGTTCCTTGATTTAACAATACCTTATAATATCAATTCATTTATTCTTTAAATATTGACAACTTAAAAGTAATTTTCTCCACTTTACAAAGTGCCTAAATAGAAGTGCAATCCTTTAATAATAAAGCTTTATCACTCATTCATCTGTCTGAAGTGAGAATATCTACTGGTAAAATAAACCCTATAGATTCGGGAAACATATTGAATCTTTACAAATTTAAAATGAAAATTTTATTTTTCTTCATTAGAAAATAAGCATTCAATTTAAACTGTAAATAAAAAAAAGAAATGTGTGTGTATATACATATAACCTTATTTGGTTATTTACATGACATAAAAACCCCATAGAAATGTTTTAAAATTTTATTTCCATGTTTAACTATCTGTCTGCCCTTCTCCAGTTATTCTATATGGAATGGGCAAACTTATTTTCTCTTGAATACAGAGGAATTCATTTCAGATAATTTGCAACTATTTTATACATGATAATCACCAAAATTAAAAGTGGTGTATGTGATCATTTCATCACATTCAGTAAAACTAAGTCATTTTCCTACAGTATTTTACTTCATTATTATTATTTAATTTTTTGTACATAAACAAAGAATGATACTCTGCAAGTATGCCATATTTTATAATTGTTATTAAAAAATGCATATGAAGTCATTTGTTCTCTCAATATTTAATTACAAATTATAAAAGTAAAATGGGACAGAATTCATAAAATGCATCACTTCAAAAGTGTTTAGATTTCACCGAAAACTAGACTCATCAAGTAAAACTCACTGAGTTAAACAACAAACAGCAATTATTTTTAAATGTGGCAATTTATGGTCATGTTTGTTTTAAGCTATGTGCCATTTTTTACATTCATAAACATTTAGTTTTCTGCATTACCCAGCACTGGGTTGTTCTAGGATTTTAAAAGCAAAATGCAATGGCTTCACTACACTCTAGTCTACAAAGTATTATTTACCATCCTAAAATATTTTTATATGGGCAATATTTCAACTCAAAATATTGAACAGAAATAAACAATGTTTGATTTTCAATATACAATTTCTCAAAGATGGAATAGAATCACAACCTACAATTTTTTGGTGATTTTACTCCTATTAGTGTAATTACTTTGTGTAAAGTATCAATAGTATGAAGCTTACCACTTAAAAATTAATCTCTTTTAAAAATTGGAATTTTGAATTTTTTCCCAATTTTCCAGCTATAATAATATCTCTGTTGGGCATAGTAACAATTTGAAAGGATCTGGCATTGGTGAGGCCTTAATTAGCATGTTTCTTATGCAGCATCCTACAAAATGAAACCTGTTTGAACTTTCTAATGCATTTTTGAAGATATAGTTCTGTATACAGTACCACGCTTTTAATGTTGTGTTACACAGTTTAGGGGATACCCGTTTGACATTGGGATACAAAAAGAAAGCACCATCACATTTAAAAGAATGAGTTACAAATACAAAAATAATACATATGGGGCCAGCTTGTATCAATTATTAAACAGAAGGCCCAACAAATACATCCAGCATTTATTACATTCTTAATTGGGAATTCCAAGACCGTCGGGTACATGCATTTATTGTGATTTCTGTAATGATTTCCTAAAATTATTTCAGTTAAATTGAAAATCATGCACTTCTAAAATCTCAGCTATCTTGAGTAAATGTGTGTTTCAAACTGCTTCAAAAACAGCTCACCCATGACCGTTTACCAGTATCTTCTAAAATACACTTCAAAGGAATTAATAGTGCTACAACGGCACATACTTTATCACACTATTTGTAACGATATTGATATTATGTAATATTGCAACTTATACCCTACTAATTCTTCTTCCATCTCTTGAAAAACCCTCTTCAGCAAAGGACAAAGAGATTCAAATTTGCAACTTGAGAAATTTTAGAGCATTATTGAAAATCTTTGCCTCAATGTATTCAAGCACAACATCAAAACTTGAAAAAACTTTTAAAAAAATTATTATATGTTTAAATTATAATTTAAAGATATAATTTTGAAGAATTAATTTGATGAAGGAAAAAATCTCTACTTTCAATAATGTTTTAGGAAGATGTTCCTAAAAATCTGAACTTTTAAAACTTTCAAAAAATTAGAGAATTTAATGAAAATCGAATCTTTTATCTTAATTAAATGCATGCTTGGTCTATTCAAGTGAAACATTTAAAGAAAAAACTTTAAGCAATTTTTTAGAAAAATTTGAAAAGGTCCTACATGTTCCAAACTATGATATGGGCTGTCCGGGTGACGCCGCGTGGAAGAAGGGTTTCTGAGGTGGAGTGGTCCGGGATCGGACGGCATGGGGCGGTCCGGGCGGGTTGCCTCCCGCGAGCTCATACTCCGCAAAGGTGAGAGCCACGCATCGAGATGTAACCCGCGTCCCCGTTGATGTCCTGGGGATGTTTGGCGATCTTTAAGCTTCTGTGATCCGTCTGGGCCACCATCCGTCCTCTCTGGCGAGCACCTTGGTCTTGTCGAAAAGGAAATCATGACCGGTTTCCCATGCGTGGAGAGCTACGGCGGAGCGATGTACATTTTTGAATTTAACATCACCAATGTTCTCGCACGGTATTTCGTTTGCGGTTCTTCCTGTCTCCCTGATTCAAAAACAGCTCAAAAACTGCTTCAAAACTGCGACCGCAGATGCAAGAGACAGAAATACTTCGGCGACAGGATATACGAGAACATTGAAGCGCATTGAGGTTCGCGAGCTTTTAGTGCCTTGAAAACTGTTTTTATCTGGAACCGCCTTAGGAGTTTATCAATTCTGTCTGTGACGCCTTTTATGTATGGGAATGTGGCAATTTTCCTGCTCTCGATGTCGCGGGGTTCCCTTGCGTAGGCGATTTTCAGTAAGTGAGTTTCAGGGCCTCATTTGCAGGAGATTTGTTGTACCCATTCACGGCGAAGGTGGCTCGTAGGACTTCGCGTTCAGGGAGGGGAGGCTGTCCCGGTCACACATTGTAGCGGATAGTAAGGGTTTTCAGTCTGCCATTCTTTGTCGCTGGGTGGTGGATCGATTCGGTGTGAAGATAGCAGTTTGTGTGCATGGGTTTTCTGTAAACCACATGCTCCAGGCTGCAGTCTTTCATACTACTCACCAAGACGTCAAAGAAAGGTACCTGGCCATGTTTATTTGGTAAATAAAGCATGAAAATGTCAAATTCATAATCATTTTTAATATTTAGAAAATATTATTTTTTTAAATTGCTTCTGTTCCTCTTTAACCATAATTAAACCACTGTTTTTGAGGCCAGTGCGGGTTGGTAAAACACAAACATACTGTCAGCTTCGGAAACTGTCAGGCATGACTAGCTTTCCTCTATAGGACTGTGCTTTATCAGGATCAACATTTTGCCAGTTATCTTGGAAGTTTTTAAAGAGGGGACTGTCAGGGCCTGTAGTCACTTGAGTGAATTATACTACAAACACACAGTACCAATACAAAATACCAACTCATACACACAATGGCAACAAGCAAATGTTTACATTTCTCTATTAAGTTTTTGTCCTAGAAACATGCAGGCTCTACATTTGAAGCTATAGTTTCACAACAAATGATTTGCACTTCATCTTCAAGATTTCAGTCTACCATCGCGTTCCAAACAGTTTGTGCATGTTTGCTTCCTGATGAGCTTTCCAACCTTGGTACAGCAATAAGTTGTTCTTTATTTCCATATTAAATAATGATCAAAAGAAGTTCTTTTGATTTCCAAGCATCAGACAACAGTTTTCCATCCACAAGAACAGTCACATCCGGTACCTCATTTCAAAAATCAACTATAAGGCTTTCGCACTCTCTTTCTGTTTATTCTTACAAATTCTTTGAATTAAGTACTTACTTATTGAAAATCATCAGTATTATGTGCATGTACCTCAATAATAACTCCAAGAATATATATAGAATAGCAGACACCTACAAAGCGCTGCTACTAATTTTACAGTAATGAAATCTTTCCCCTCTGATGTTGACCAGGTCATGTGTTCTCAATTAACAACTGCTTGCAAATCCATATTTTCATTACAATTAGAAGATGAATAGTTTTTTAATGGTATACAAGATGGTGTCAAGGTAGTTGGCGTGGAGACATATTTTGTAAGCCATTTTTCTTTCTCAATAGTTCCAAGGGGTGCCAATTCTCTTTATCAGTTTTTTCTAAGGAAGTTCTGAACTCATTACTTGATTTTTCACATTTCTTATTAAACATATACTCATTTTAGAACAGTGTAATTCCACAGACATGTTGACTATTTGAAAACTATGGAAAAAACAAAGGAAAAAAAAACAACAACCAGCACTCAGGATCAGGGACCCCCAAAGTGTATTTTCTATCACAATTTCTATGTCATTGTTTGTTTCGCAGTATTACATTTCTCCCTCTGTACACTGTATAAGAGAAAAAACAGTAGATAGTCCAGAAAATATTTATTAAAATACCTTTGGAAGCTACTGCTCCAGATTCGGTAGAGATCTGTGACCTCATCTTTCAGCTGTGGAACTGCAGATGAAATAGTGGTATCCTGTGATCCAGAGTCGGTGCCCAATTGGTGGACAGCAACATTCACATGAAGGAGTTGGTCTTTGAAATCCAACAAAGATTTTGATTCCTCCTGCAATCATTACAAATTTCAGCATACCTTTTGCATGAATACCTTACTCTTTCATGCATTAATTCTACAGGCTTCAGGGCTTACAACTTTGATTTAAAAGTTTAATTAAGCTTAATTTTGTCTCAAAATCCTACAAAAAGGAATCACCATATGCAATTACACTCTCCATACCATATACCATATTTCCCCAAATATAAGACAAAGTTATTTCTTAAATATCTCACTTGAAAAATATAGAGTTATATTGTATTCACAGATTAAACATGAATGGAATCTATGTTTTTAAACCATCTATCCTTATCAAGAAACTTGAAATGTTGAAGTAAGAACAGGTGAATTGCATAGCATAGTGGGGGTGGTTCACCTCGGGCACTTTTACAGGCAGGAAAAATTTCACAATTAATTATCAACATAAAATGCCGGTTCCTAGGTCTTAACATAAACTGCAGGTTGCAGGTCGCAGATTCCTGTTTTACCAGTAGACAAGGAGGATTATACCTCCAGATGTTCCTGAACTAGCCATTTCTTTTGTTGTCTTCCCTCATCCCTTCAGCCTATTAGTTTGTACTTCAACACTGCTTTTGGTAATCTTTTGTCTTTCATTCTGTTAATATGAGATTTTCTCTGCCCATTCTTTATTTCTTTTAGTACATTTTTTGTCTTTAGCCTGTTTCTGATATCTTCAATCCTTTGCCTACACTTAAGTGTCACTACTGCAAGATGATGCAGAAATATCATTTGCATTGCATCTAGTCTTTGTTGCTCACTTTTTTCATTGTCCAGACTTCTGAACCAACATGAGGAATGGTGTAGATAAAAATTGCAAATCCTTAGTTTGGTCTCTTTAGTCATATCTTCCGAAGTAGCAAAAACACAAAACTTTCAGGATAGCATAAAAAGTCAAAGGTTGCCTCGAGATTAGGAAGAGAACCGAAAACAAAAATATAGCTATAAATGTGAAGGTGAAGATAATAATGACAAACCATGATTAGGATAATTTTATGGAACAAGAATTATTGTGACAGTTCATGCCTTAAGTATTAACATTCTTATCAGCATGACAACTTTGTAGATAATTTGCAGTATTTTCACAAAATAGTGAGAATTGGTTAAAAATTCTCTGAAGGTTTCTTCATATTACATGTCATTATATATTCATAGTAGACTTATATTTGGGTAAATACAGTACTTCCCAAAGGAAATGTCACAATATAATTAATTAATTCTTAATTAAAATATTTTTTTCTTTAATCTACCTTCAGTGTTTGAATAGCAGATTCCAAATGTGTCATATCATTCAGATTATCAGCCAATGAAGAAATCTTAGTAGTTGAATCAAGTAGTTTTGTACGCATCATGAGAACCTTCTGTTGCAAATTAGATACTCTCTGCAATTCATCAGCATATACTTGGAGACCATTCCACTTCTCAAGAAGATCTGAAAATAAAGTTTATTATTATATTAATTTACAATAATCACTCATATTGCAAAGATTACAATAAATTTATCCATGAATAATGACAACAACATTGTGCAAATCATATCAAATATTGTTATTGGAATACCATTTCACCAATTTTATTTTGTGCAGAAGCTTATAAAGAAAAAATCTACTTTGGCTTTAACAAAAGCTTAGTCTTCATCGGTCAACTTCTATAATTTGCCATTTGGCTAATTCATTGAATAAAATCAGTTTATGAAACATGACCTACAGACAAGACGCAATAGTTTGTAGAACATGTAGTTGATGATGGACAATTAAGCTAAGAATAACAAAGCGAAGTATGGGAACATTATCTCCACTCCAACAATATGACTCTTTATTTCTTGATGGAGTCACTGTGCACATGATACACTATGCATCACTAACAGAGAAGTGTAATCCTCGAATTCGGAGAGCTAGAGGAGTAGAGAGGAACTCTAAGCTGAAGGTACTATTGTTAATTCTTCTTAAACCACATTTTATGAGGCAGCACTCTCAAAGCATTGGGTGAGACCTTCCTGCGACCAATTCTCAATTGTGATTGCACTGCATTTATGCTTCTATCATCACTTTGTCATGGTGATGTCAAGGATACTTAAGATTCTGACCCCAGAGGTAGTGAAGCATTAAGTTTGAATATCTGCTTCAACACTGAATGATGAAATAAGAGAAGTAGTATTTGTAATTTCTGCGCTAACGTGCTCACAAAACATTTGGAGGTGGTTTTGTGGAACATAAAATTGGGAAAGAGAAGCAAGGGGTGTCAAGATTGGGTGGTTAGAATCAGCAAACCAGAATCATGAACTTTGAATTACCATAAAATACATCAACTTTGATAATAGTGAAAGTTTCTTTCCATTAATACATTCCAATTGTCCCTCCCCATACCTATTTCAAATTAATTAGTAATTACTACCATGAACTTGATTTTGCCATACAAGAGAGAAAAACTAGTCTCTAATCTAAACACATTAGTCATCTCTCACACCGAGGAAAATGTTTCGTTAAATGTTGGTGTTCAAATCACCAAAAATTGTTCTTTAACAAAATCACCCTTATCAGACAAACCACTAGTTATAAATCATTCACTTAATAACAGTTCCATCAAAAAGATTTATTCCAATAAAACACAAATTTCATATTAGTTAATTTAGTTGATAGTAATTTCATTAGTAAATATATACTGCAAGTCCAAATCTGCAGTTCATGATCAAGCTTCTGCAAATCAGCAAATTCCCAGTAGCCATAGTCAAAATACTTTATCTTCGATTTAACCAGAATTTGTGCTTGAGAGAGAGAGACAGTGGGGAGAGAGGAGGGAGAGGGGCAGGAGGGATGGGAGAGGAGAGAGAGAGAGGGAGAGGGAGAGAGACAGAAACAGAAAGATGTTTTGTAAACAACCACTGTCTCAGTTTCAGATCTCAAAACTTACATTTCCCTCAAAATCTCAACTTTTATTTTCCTCAGCAGTAAAAAATTTCATCTAATAGTGCATAATATTCTCCATACATGAAAAATTAATTGGTTTAATTAATAATGAACCCCTAAAAATCTTAAAATAATTAATATACATATAGTATAAATCTAAAAATAATATACTTTCAGTATGAGGCACAAAGAATAATAGAAAGAATTTACCTTTTATTTCTTTACGTTCCTTAAGTGTGAGAATTCCTCCTTCTTTCACATTTTCTAAAATGACTTTCAAACATCTTTTATTTTCTTTACAAGTAGCAATAATTTCCGCCTGTTGGAAAACAAGTATAAGTATTGCCATAATTCCAATAAACAATTTATAAAAGAGAATTATTATACTACCTTTCACTTAGTTATATATTATGAAAGATACATTACACAAATATGAAAACAAATGAAGAATTATTAATGACTACAATTACATCACTTTCAATTTTACCCCAATATATTTTGATAATTTTTTGAGAAATATTTTTCACAATAATTGTCATTATAACTATTACCAATAAGTTAATTAAATATTTTGTAAAACCACTATTTAATTTTCAAATGCTTTCATATAATGAAAAATTGACTACTAATAATATATAATAAATTAGATTTTCAAAAAACAACAAACATAGAAACTATGAATATGACTTCAGTTCAGTTCTATGTCAAAAAAATAGTTTCATTAATGAAATTTAACAAAGCTGACAAAATTGTAAATATTGCCTAAGATATCTGTAGTGTTTATTACTTATACAAGACTTTTAAAATAATTTTCAGAAACACTTGCACTACTCTTTGCAGAATTACCAAATAATACTTACATAATCTGTCACCCACATGTCTGGAGAAGATTTTGATAGATGTCTATTGAGAACCTGTTCAGTGAATACAAAATGTGACTGTGACTGCTCAATTAGATGATGGATGTCTTCTAAGTCAGAATCACTGTCCAACACAGAACTATCACAAGCTCCAATCTAAATAGAATTAGTAAAAAACATTAAATGAGATAACTTATCACAATTTTGTATCAAATGAATATTATACTTGTTGCGACAGTGAGTAAGTTTGAAAGTTATCCATGAAGGAATAAGCAACAGTACTGATTTAAAAGGCTGATCACCAGGGAAATGATTATTTCAATTCCAATGGAAAGATTCTGGACAAGAGAGATAGAATAAGTTGACAAAGGAAATAAAAGAAGAAAAGTATATGGAAAAGCCTAAAATGAAAAAGCAGTTATTGGAAAAGGAATAACACACGTGCGCGTGTGTGCAACTTTTTATTTCAATCATTCAACTTACAATGGATTTCCTCTTCCGTTGAGGTGAAGTTCTCTGACTGATTCCCAAACTAGATGCACAGTCAGATTGACTATCAAGAAAGTTATGATAATCATCTCCAAATTCAAGTAATCTTCTGGCAAATTCTGAATCTGCTATTTCTTCACTGTATGGTTCACTCATATATTTTTCCTAGGTCAAAAAATAGAATTTGAGTAAAACAAGCATATTCCACAGGCTCATATAAAATTAATCAACGATACTGACATGAATAATAAGGATGAATTTCTGTGTTGCAATGATAATTTCATTTCACAATTCATTGTTAATTTCCAAACTACCAGTAGTACACATACAATTTTAAGAAATAAATACTTATCTCTGAGATAACATTCAACTTAAATTTATCTCTCCATCTAAAAACATTTTTGTAACCAACCTACATAAAAGACAAAATAGAGTATACATTACTTTTTTTTTAATAAATTTATTTGGCCAACAAGAATTGGCCACCAACAATTGGCCAATAAGTTCACTCAAAATAGACAGAAGTCAGGTGAATCAATGTTATTTTCCTAGAAAATGTAATTGCAAATGCATTGCTCATTGTTTTCTGTACATCTACATCTTGAACAACAAAAATCTTTGAGTGATTCACAATATCACAAAAACAATCCATATCATAATTTTGCACAAAATGATTATCCTTATTAATAATATTCTCAATAATAATTACGCAAATCAAACTCATTTATTTGTCACATGGAACTCTTTAATACATATCAAACAAAGACTCTGCATCCACGACAAATTGAATTATGCAGTTTGATTCAAACTGTTCTAGAGTGATCAAATGAATTACCGATTGCAAATGAAATCTTTGAATTTCAAAAACAACAGAGAAGCACTGTATATCAGATGCTACTCTAAGAAAATTGTATCACTACCTTAAAAACATATATTTAAAGAAAAATAAGAGTGCACATGCCAGAGAGTTAATGTTGATATGACAATTTTTCACAACTCATAGAAACAATTCACTCGCACTATATTCAAATATATGAATTGTATTTTAGTTTCCTATTCAGACAACAGTTTAAAATGTTCTTTTTCTCTTTCCTAACCAGATTTAATACTGTATATTAATACTCTTGTACTCATTTCATTTTCATTTATAAAACAAACTGACTTTGCAAATGAAAATGGTTTATCACAAAATCATGAAAATCGATAGTGAGTTGCTTTCCTCACGAGTGTGATTTGAAGTGTGGTGGCGGCAAAATATGCAGGGAAACATAAAACTTATGCAGGGAAGGACCCAAAGTGCTCATATCTAAGCATGTTAATTCAATTTACTATGTTAGTGGTTTGATTCACATGATATTCAAATTTTAAGGATTTGAAATAATATAGCCTTAATTTACAAATATTTATGCACAATTCCAAAAGTAATTTTGGTATCAAATCTGTAGTAACTACACTAAATCATTTAAGTACATTATCCATTTAAAAATATATCAAAGCCCAACATTTACCCATATTCTGGGAGGAAAAGACATAAAATCTCTTCTAAACCAATGATAACTAAAAATTTTAAATTATAATGCAAGCAATCATGACAAACATGCTCTAGCACTTGCACATTGAAAACAGTTTTGGCATTCTCCTAACACATTTTCTTCACAATTACTTGTTTACAAAGACATTTTTTATTACAACTATTGAACTGAATTTGTTTAATGACGTGTAGGTCTCAGACTTTTAATGCCCTGAATGTGATTATCATTCACATCAAAGTGAATCACTGATCACAAGATCAGAAGTGATCACAAGAAAAGCAGTACATCACATCACTGATGTACTGCTTTTCTTGTTCATTTAGTTTCTAAATTAAAATTATGAAGCAAATTCTGATATTACTCTAAAGTAATAGCAATTTTCATATTTGTCAGAGTAAATGAAATTAATTCAAATTACACTTTAAATACGTTCTAATGATCACATTATTTCAAATTGCCACTAATGCTTCACAAATATGTAGCAATTTTCTCTAAAAAGAATGTAATTTTAAAAAATTATCTCTAAAGAATTTAAGAATGGAAAACAATGGAATAGTTGCATGGACAACAGAGATAGTCACATGTTTCCCACACATACAATGTTAATTACTGCCATGTTGCTCAACTTTGTACTTCTGCAGATGAGTAAAGTTACCTATACATTTCTTCTTCTTTATACCTCCTAAAAGTTTGACTACCTGTATAATTAACCTCATAAATATTGGAGTTTTCTAGGCTATTGTAGCCACAAGCATATTTCATATTGGAAATAGAAATTAGAAGGGGTCTAATTAGTTCTTTGTGTTCACTAACAGATTTCCATAGCACATTAACTCTCTCTCCTATGGTCACCATTTCTTGGTCTACATCTAGTAGTTTTATCACACTTCATGGCAAACAGCATTTATAAAAGGCAATTCATTTCAAACACATCAATTCATTGTTTACCTCTTATATGCTGTATTGATAAAAACATTTGCTATGAACCACTATAGGAATGTGCTACAGTTTTTCAAGCATGTGCGTTAATTTAGGAAAGCTAGCAACAGCTGGATACCCTAATGAGATACAATCCATAATACTCTGTTTCACAAGAAAGAAAACTGTTTTTCTGATAAGCACAATAACAAACACCAAGGCCGATCCGGTGGCCGAGATCGCTATGGCAGTAGTGCCGTAGCGATTTTGGACTGAAGGGTTGCGAGTTCGAGTCCCGTCTCCGGCACGGTTGTATTGTGTTTGTCCTTTCACCCGCTATCATCATATCGTGTTTCATCCACACAGTTACCATACCGTTACAAGCAATAGTGGTCACTAATGACCTAGAAGTTGATGCAATGTTAAAAAAAGTTTTAAATTCTAAGAATGTGGATCAGGAAAACTACTTTGTATCTGGTTTGTCAGAGCACCCTTAGAACTAGCTGTTTCAACTGAGTTTGTAAGGTCACATGCACCCATGGACATTCGCAAGGGCACTTGCAAATAAGCACACTATAAACTGTGACAGGAGAGTTACATATCTTATGTCTGGCTGAACAAAGTGCACTTCTCAGTTTCAGTTTGCTGTTTGTGGAAGCAAGAATAGCACAAAAATTTGTTGCAGTAGTATTAGAATCTACATCCCCATTTCTTTCCCATGCTTCATAACAATACAACAAAGACTATGTTTATGTTTGGGTCAACATATTGCAGCCAACAGCTATTGTCTGTGATGACAAGTATAAAAAACCAAGAATGTACCCAACTTCAGAACCAGATATTGAAGGGTGTGACACAGGTCATCACAGCCCAAGGACTGTCACCACAGCATCTCTTGTTAAGAAAAATATGTCTTGTATCTTATTCATTAAAATATTTTACTAGGCACTGGCAACAAGCAGTAACAGCAGTTTGCCTCTGTCTCTCCTCTCTCTCTCCTCACATTTTGTAAATTCATATTAGATTTTGAAGATTGTGAATTACACAACTACAATTTACTTATGAGTTTGCGATTTTAATTTGTAACATTATAACAAGCAGAAGTCTGGTGACCGTACATTCAAGTATCTTTATATGTCAGGATACAACATCATATTGCAAAGCTAACAGTAAATTAGTATTTATTTTGTGGAATGATTTTTTGGGATTTCAGATAAATTTTCATACATTCTTTGAAATATCCTAACAGGAAAACTTAGGAGATTGAATGAGTTTGTTTAAGAATTGTTTAAAGTGTACATGTCCAAAAATGACTCAATCAATTCAATGCAATTGAAAATGTGTTACAAGCATTGGACAATTTTACAAAGAGAAAAATTACACCAGATACCTAATTCCCACATTTTAGTAACCTTCATTTAGCAGCCACCTCTATTATTCTGCACCAGAAATTTGAGTCGCCACATAAGCCAGGTCTCACTTCATTGTATTTTAACATTCCAACACGCAGCAGTTGACATAAATGCTTTAAAACTGTAGAAATCTAATATATTAACTGTAGACCCTTTTAGGCTTTCTGTATCATTTTTCACACTGAAGGGGTGATTTAGAAGCCAAAGACCTCTCAGGTGTCCTTAAGGTACGTTATAAAGTAGCAAAGCTTAACACGATATACTTTCTATACTTTCATTATTTCTAACTTCTGCGATTTTCAAGAATTAAGACAGTTCAACGACAATGAGGCCTGCACCATTCTTCTAAGCATTCCTTGCTCTCTCGGTGAAATCAATTTCAAGTAAAAATTTGTGGTTTTCAGATAATAAGTTTTTAAGCATACAAGGGACATCAAGAAAGTAAGAATACATGGACTGTGTAGGATTGGGGAATATTTTTTTCGAAGTTAGAACCCATATCAAGTAGACAGTTTCTTAACGATCATAATGAGACATTGAACGCTTCAGTCATCATCATCATCTCCTCTTTAGGGATTAGGTTGTTCCATCTTCAGCAAGCCATCTTAATCTTGGATGGTGGACATCCATTTTACCACAAGATCTGTAGTGATTTATTGTTTTGGAATGCATACTCATTCTGTGTAGATGTTGGGACTATTGGGTCCTGTATTCTTGTATTTTATTTATCAATGGGAGCACTTCAAATTCTTCTCTGATTATATCACTTTTCATTTTGTCTAATATAGCCTTTGACTTGTCTCAAGAACCTCATCTCAGACATCTGAATTCTGGTAAAATCTTTCTTTTTCATTGTCCATGTCTTGCATTCATAAAGAAGTATGGGATAGCCATTGATTTATAAAATTTAAGTTGTGTTCCTTTCTAGTTTTCTTTTTCAGATATTTTATTTTTGTACCACAGATGTTTTGGAATCTTTGGGTTTTTATTGAAATATCTTCATTGAATTCAAAAGTAAAATCACGGCCTAAATATCCAAAGTGGCTAATTTGTTCTATAATTTTATTATTTATTATTATCCTACTTCATATAGGATATTTGCCTCTAAATGCCATTACTTTGGCTTTCTGAGTTAAGCTTCTCAAGTTATATCATTCACGTATGTCATTTAGTTTATAGAGAGCCCTCTGTAACTAATCCTCATTTTCTTGCACAATTATCTGATCGTCTGCAATTAATAAAGTATTTAGAGTGGTTTCAAGGGTACAACCTTGTCTAACACCTCAATTAATTTTAAATTCCTCAGATAATTTTCCATTTAAATCCAATACATTTATAGTTTTGTGATCTAAGGATTTGATTACTTCAATTAAATGTAGTAGAATGCCTCTTTTATTCATTGTCTTCCATATTGTATTACATGCACCATGTTGAATGCTTTCTCATAATCTATGAACGCGATACAAGTTTCCTAATTAAATCCTACCATCTTCTGTATAAGCAAGTAAAGTAAGTTTGTAATGCTTCAGTTCATTACAAAATGTCATCGCAGCAGCTTATCACGTCATCCAGTTCGTCACCCATTGGCTCCATCTTTTTGAATCATGGAAAAACCATGGCATCCATCTTTTTGAATCAGAAAGAGATCTTGTTGGTCAATAGCATGCCCAAAGAGACCACCATTAATGCTGCTGCATATTGTGAGACCCTAAAGTACTTGAAACTAAGAAGTCAAATCCAAAGGAAGAGGGCTGCTGATAACGCCAGAAACTATACCGCCTGGTTTACTCAGGACCTGCTTCGTCATTTTGATGGGACATTGTGACTCGCCCACCCTACTCCCCAGACCTGGCACCCTCAGATTACCATCTCTTCACCAAACTGAAGGAGTTCTTGGGTGGACAGTGATTTTCTAATCAAGAGGCTGTCGTGAAGACTGTGAAAAAGTGGTTTAAAGAGGTGGAGCATAAGGTATACCATTAGCATGTACAAAAGTTAGTGTCCAGGCTTCAACAGTGCATTGACCTCAATGAAGATTATGAAGAGAAATGATAACATATTTTGGCACTTATCCACTAAATTGCATTAAAATATATTCATTTTTTTAATTTTTAACAAGTGTTGTATTCTTACTTCCTGTATGTCCTTGGTAGTTATGGTTTTATAATAAATTGCATAATCCTTTGCATACAAAGTACTAAATGTAACACCACATACCAAGCAGAATACAAGTGTACTCCACATGAATATTGTGCAAGATTGCTTTGAAATAGGATATAACTCTCTTATGAACATTTTGGCTATTTTGACCAATTAATATGTAATATGTAAAAGACAAATTTATTAGAACTAATCAACTTTATTACTGTTATTACTGAATTAAACAACTTTATTATCTATTTCTTTTAGTAGACCATAACACTTCATCAGAAAACCTCTGTTAATATCATTCCTGTTTAAGGGAATTGATGCATACTTTTATTGTTTTTTGAATTGAATTGAATTGAATATGCCTTATTTTACGTGGCGAGACTCGGGCCATTTTTTGGTGTCAAATGTTTATTTCATGGCCATGATGAACACTTAAAACATATTGTCCTACTTTTTCTGTTTCCGTTTCTCTCACATAGTGCACATCTTCCAACATTAGGCTGATGAAGAACATGCAGGAGGTGCAGAGCTCGCTGCTTCCTCTCTAAGCAAACATTTCACTGCAGTCAGTATTGTGTTTTTAGTCAAATTTTAGTTTTTATCAGTCTCTCTTCAACTTTCATGTTTCAATAAGTATATAAGTATAAGGACTATTAGGGGAAGTGTCGAGGTTACCTGTTCTTCATGTTTTTGGTTCTTCATATAATATAGAATGCAAGCTGAAGCCTCTGTACCAAAAACGAGATCTTGAATTTATTTAAGAAACAGCAACATATTGTAGAGAAATTTTTTGTAAAATAAATGTTTAAAGCATACACATACTCCCTTTTAACATTTTTATGAGAGCATACACTTGCAATAGACATGCCTTGTTTTCACTAATGTTCAATGCAAGAACTCTGGCAAGCATGTGAGTCTAAAAAGTTCGCTAATAATGTATCCAGGTCAGTACTGGAGCAGAAAATATAACTACAAAAAATATATAAACAAAATAAAATAACTACGGTTCACCTTGGCTAAAGCAGAGGATTCTAACATATTCACTTTGGTTAGTAGGGTGAATTTTGTGAACGAACATAATAAGAATACTGAAAGATGGATAATGCAAAGAATCAGAACAGATCTTGGGAAAGCAAGAACTGATACCTAAAACAAAGGGTATGACTACAGAAGGAAGACAGCTAGCATATAACAAACCTCATGATAACATCAGCTGATAACAGAGCAGGCTCTCAAATGAAACAGCAATAATAAAACAGAAACATCGCTGGAAAACTTCACTCACCACAGGATCTGATAAGTAGGGAGACCACCTCCAAACACGCAGTCTTCTAGACGCCAATAACTGTACCTTATACAAAAGAAAATAAGATTCCAAGGAGGTTTGTTTGTTGTTTTTTAACACGCAATAAACCTTGTATCCAACTGATTCCAAGTAAATTATTGTCCTTTCTCCTCTTAATATCACACAAATCAACTGCATGCAATGCTGATTACATATTTCAATGCAATAGAATTGCAATGCATTTTAGATGGTGCAAATATTTATCAACCAAAAAAGATGAAAAGCCTCACATTTCAACCAATTGACAAGTAACTATGTCAGCAAGTTAGATTTTATAAACCAAGAGTTAATATTTCATCAAGTTACTTTAAAGTTACAATGAATTTGTATGTAGCTGAACAATGTGTTTCTGCTATGTTCCATATGAAACAGTTTTTTTCTATTCATTGCGCATTTACTAATGATGAAATTTGAATACATGCATGAAGCAACAATCACAACATAAAGCAACAACAGAATAACATCAACATCAATGAAACTTTTATATTCTATATTTTCAAAGATATGGTCAGAAACAGTGCTTGACTCACTTCTTCAAAGAAAGAGACCAAAATTTTCACCAGTTAGAAAAAAAAATATTCTTTTCAAAACAAACACAAGCAATGGACATGCTTAAAATGTGTTTGTTTCATTCTTTTTTCTTTACCCTACTTCTTCACACACTATTGGATCAGTGTTGAAACTCACTTATTTCGCAATCCTGGCCAAGGCATTTACTCCTGCAGAACCTTATGAAGGGCAACCAACCCTCACATGTGGAAATGAGATAGGAAAAGAAAGAACATATGCAGTACATGGCCTATTGTTAAATTATTGGCCAGCATCTACACTAAGGCTATTGTCATCTAGAAAGAGGAACCTATTTAGCTGAAGTAAAAAATGCTTGGGCTGCCGGTATGTGAACCTACAGCCTACCAATCTATAGAACTTCAACTGAAATATGATCTCATACCCAACAAGACATTGTTTTATGAATGTTTTCACATGAATGGCCACAAAAATTAAGTACATTAATACACAAAAAGAAATGAGAATCTTGTTTGTCAATTTCTAAATTAGTCCAAAAGGAAAACTTCAGCTAGAGACGTCCATTGAAGATGCAGGCAAATCTCTCTAATTCAATAATAAAATAATTGAAGAAGATAAAAGAACACCTATTTCTTGTTTCCAAGACAAATATATATTAAATGAATAAAAACTGAAAAACCTACAAAAAAGGAATTCACAATCCAATATGTTATGTCAGAACTAAACTCTTAAAGAATAATGAGCACCGTTAGTGCTCGTTATTCTTTAAACAGTGAGAATAATAACAATTCTAGGTTTCAAAAATGTTACATCATTAAACACCACTATCATGACTTGCTTTCCAAAACTTATTTGATCAAGTTCCTGTTTTTTTACCATTCATAAGGAAGACCAGAATTTGGATACACTCTCAATGATTTTGATGTTTGATGGAGAAAAAGATATTTTGAACTTGTAATTCTGTAATACCGATATTGGTGTTTAAATTCTGTAAGTTTGCACACGTATCTTTTATTACTGTTTAAGTCAAATGTAACAATTTAGATGTAACAGATGAATAACTGTCGCACACAGGTTATTACCTTGCTAAGTAGCGATATAAGCATAAATCGTGTTAATTATAAAATATTTATATAACATGACAATAAATAAATAAACAATTAAATTCTTCACCCATGAATTTCAATAAACTGATATAACATTCAATTCAACAAAATGCCTGACAATACTTGAATTACACTCCTGCTGAACAATGTAGACAAAACCCTCCAAATTAAAAAACAAATTGTAAATAATATAGTATCTCCCTCTCAAATTTGGAATAAATTCTGAAATGTTAGTAACAAAATATTTAACCCTTCAATTATTTTCAATAGCTCTACAAATTTGATGTTATAATGAAAAAAGTCATTAGGATACTCATACGTACTTTATAGAATATAGCCAAATATTCACAAAACCCAAATTCCTTCACAAGTGCACAATTTCAATTTATGTCCAAAAATTTAACATTCACACTTGAAAAACATAAAATAATAATAATTTTATAAGCAAACCTGATAATTATCCCATGCTTGCTCTGAAGAACTGAGCTGTTCTTCTGCACCCTGGGGACCACTGGTCTTTTCCACATCACTGTCTACCCCAGAGGGCAAAAGAGAATGAGAAATCATATCAGGCTTCGGAGTAACAGCACCTTCTTTTGGCCCCAGGCGAAAAACTGGAAGACCCACACACTTTCTTGAAAAGAATTCCTCTTCAGATATTAAAGTCCTGTCACCAGCATCCAAAATTTTACTGCTGAAAATCAGTGAAAAAAAAAGATGGTTGGAATTAATTTGCATTATTTATTTTCACAAATAAAAATTTACTGTATATATTAATTTTATGTTTAATTTACTGTTTATATTAATTTTAATTGTAAATTATATGTTATTCACAAAATATTAAAACAATCATACAGGGGTAGAATAAAACTTTTTCAATATCAGCATTTTCAGATCATTTTTCTTTTCTCCTGAAGTATACTGACTAGTATAATTATCTCTATGTTACATCTCTGCCACAAATGATATAGCACTGATTAAGATAAATTTCTCATAAAATGTCATTGGGGCACAATGATACTTCTTAGAAATAAATCCCAAGTTCATATCTTAAAAATCTGGATTTTGAATGAATCAAACAAAAAGTTTTTTCACTAGAAAGTTAGAAATAATAAAGTTTGATTAACAGGTACTGTAATCTCCCATTATATCAGAAAAGAATTTTCAGAATTCAATAATGTAAAATTCGAAATATTCTGGAATATATAACTTCAAACCTTGGGCTAGCAAATTAGTTAGGCAAATAAATATTAATGATGAAGAAGAGTGGTATGATATTTATCTTGGAAAGAAGTATTTTAAAACTGTTTCACGAAATCAGTAAAGAAAACTCAATGATTCTGTGCCACATTTACAAACTCTTGCATTCAGCCGGCAGTTAATTTAAATGATGGATGATGTCATCAATCATGATGAATTTCATTCAGCTCCAAAAATGTCAACTTCAAAACTCCGGTCTTTTGTTGAAAGTCATTCGGATCTTGCTGGTTTCTGTAACTGTCTTTTTTTCTTTATATTAGTCACTAATGGCAATATGATCCGCGCGAGAGTGTAGGGCATTGATGGCGCGACAAGCGGTCCCATGTTGAGGCCACCGCCATAAAGCGCAGAAACGGCAACAATACAACCTTATGAGCAGTCCGAATGGACGCCTAAGATATGACTAGGCACCTGATTTACATACATTAATAATCTATGAAATATATGTGCAATTATCCACAACAAACGTCGAAAATCTGCGCCAAAATACTTCCTTAAAATATAGTAAACCATCTTCAAATTTTCACGAAATTTTTACGCACAGTACATTCAGCCGGCACTCTCCTCTCTCTATACTGCTCAATGACATTTAGAAGTGTATGAAATGTCTTCAGCTAAATGCACTTCCGATAGACGCTTCAAAAGGTAGCAACAATTAACATTATAAACACATTTGAACACAAGTTCCTTAGCAGCCACCTTCTAACAACGAAAAAGAAAATTTGCTTTCATTCCCGCATCCTATTTTGCACTTGTAGAGAAGCATCCTCTGTGACTTGTGGGAGTTCAAGTTACGTGTGTTAATTCATATATTTTGCACAGTTTAAAGATGAACTTGCAGACAACACGATCATGAGTTTCCTGTTAAATAAATGGACAGCCTAATTCAGATACACGAAATTGATGCCAAAAAAGAACCACGTAATATAAATATTATGAAACACATTTTTAAAAAACGAAGTGTTAAAATAAAAAAATATGAGAAATTATGAACACTTCCAAGCAAAATATGCAGAATGATTAGCAATTTCCAGAAACCTGATACTTATGTTGCTGCGGCGGCGACTCGCGTGAGCCTGACAGCGCGGCTGGTGCCACAATGCAAGGCCGGAGTACTTACGATACCCAAAGCAACGATATGACACTTTCAGACCTCTCAAACGATATCCACATCTGGTTCCTACATGCGTCAGGAAAAGAATCGCACTTCCCGAAATCGAGTTTCTGTGAAGTCACCGCCGGCCAATAGTGATGAAGGCGATTGGTAGGCACCGTGTCCCCACCTCGCTTCCCGAGTCTAAATTACCAAATCGAGTATCTGGATGTCCGGCGAAGGTGCAGAAGTGGGGAAGGTGCTCATTGCAGAAAAAAGCACGGAGGACCGACAGACTTTATCCGAATTTTGGTTGGCAGCTAAGCTCCGCCGTCACAACTGTAATTCGCCGTGAGCAGCAGTTCATCACGCCATCTCTGATGACAGGCTCGGTATTATTCACCTTAGGAATACGCTGTGGCTCGGGATCAAGCACTTAGTAAATTCCGCAGATACCTGGCGATTGTTCGAGCAGAAACAGTGCGGAGATAAACAGGAGAGTTCGTCGTCGTCGTTGTTGTTGTTGTTTTTTGTTGTTTTTCTTGTTTGTTTTGTTAACTTTTCCGTATACGTACGTATATACGAAGTATTATACATAGAATGGGGCTAGTTATGTAATGCTGCGGAAAATTATTTTCGAGATTTCAACGGAAATACACGTTTTGGTGTTCCCTGATACCTTAAAGTGTTGTTTTCAAAAGTCCGTCTGTGAACACAACTAGCACCTAAACCATACGAAGGATTTTTTTCCAAATTGGACACCCCTGTCCATCTGGCTCAAATGAAAGTTCTGAGATTTCGAAAAAAAATTCTTTAAAATTTGGAGGTACTTCAAGCTTCCCAAACATTTTCAAAAGTTTCTCAAAAACGGCTCCAAATTTTTCCTTTACATTTCTTGTAAGAATATTTTACAACACCTTGCCAAATGACATTAAACGATGAAACTTGATACAACAGTTTAAGTTCCAAGTAAAATCTTTTCTGCTGCACAACTGTTTCTATATAATTATAAACTATACTGAGCATCCAAAATGAAGGTAATATTAATTTTAACAACGATATTTAATGTATTATATACCGTTTGGATTGTATAATTGTAAAGAACCTGTAACAAGTACTGTACTTCAGCTTCTGGGACAATGACCCCCATCTGGATCAGGTTTTCGTCCAGTTTCCCTGATCCTCAAGCAAATGGTGAGATGGCCCCTTGTTTTGCTTCTGAAGATAACTGTAACTTGAAATTAACTTCTCCCCACAGCACGTCACACAGTTTTTGATGTAAATAAATAAAACAAAATAAATAACTATAGAAAAAATACCTATAAAGATGGCATAGGTCAGTTTTTCAGGTTGAACTCTGAATTTTCAAAAGTTTCAAAATTATAAAATGTTTTGGGCGTCGTCCTACAACTACAAAATTGAAGATAGAGATTTTTCCTTCAAATAAAATTTGTTCTCTGTATCGAGTTCGTTCATTAAGGTCATGTACATTTTTTTAAAAACATGTAAGTAGTTTTCGCGCAATACTGCGAGCAAAATGTGCAAATTTTTAGAAATTACAAAAACAAGCTATTCTCAAAAACGGTTCCAAATTTTTACTTTAAACTTTTGGTAGGAATAGTACTCTAGCTAAATTGCTCTATTCTTTCGTTTTTTCAAAAATTACAAAAATGTAATTCTTTTGACTTGTCTCTCATGTCGTTAATATTTATATTAGCAGCAATTTGTTCACATTATTTCATTTACGTGTACATGTGCTTTAAATATTGTCAAAGTTTCTCAAAAAACTCAACCGTTTTCTGTGACAATAGCTCCATATTCCGCATTTTCAAAAACGCCATTTTCTCAAAAACAGCTCTAATTTTTTTTCTTCAAATTTTTGAACTGATGGTGATAATTGCACTCTTTAATATGACGTAAAGTTCATATGGGGTCATTTTTTTTATTTTTCAAAAATTACACAAATTTAATTTTTGTGAAATGTTTCTCACGGCGTTAATGTGCACATTTCCAGCAATTTGTAAACACTATTGAATAGATGAGTTAAAGTGTTTCAAATGACTTCAAACGAAGTTTTTCTTAAACTCTTTTCTGTGAAAAAGTTTCAAATTTCGAATTTCCAGTAACGCTTCAGCACCAATTTCTAGGAAAACCGCATTTTTTAGACAATATATACAAATACAAATTTTTCAAAGAAAATTGCTATTTAGGACGAGTTTTTCCTGTTCTTTAATATTCTTAAAATAATATTTCCTTTCAGTAATTAGAAAACTGAAAAATTAAGAACATTTTTTAAAAAATTACTTTCGGCGGCGATAGATGGCCAGCTGACTAGAGTATGTGGCCAGTTCGTATTAGCTAGCCGAGACCAAAGGAAATAGAAAATTAATACGGGAGAGAGTGCCATTCTGTAGCACACTAGCTTTTTATGATTCGTTCGTTCTCATAGAACGTTGGCCACGGAAACAATTCCGTTAATCGACAATTTAACTTACGCAAATACTCGTGCAATAGTTCTCATTTGCGCGGGCTGTTTAAATAACGACCTAGTCTCGGTGTAGACTGTCCCTTCAGCGTGGGGCGATGCTGCGCTAGGCCTGGATAGTCTGACGCAGGCGAAAATTGTGGCGTACTGCGGCTGCGATAGCTCTCGCGAGGGTTTGAGGAAGCCCAAGCGGCAGCATTCGATGTGTCGCACGCCACAAGCCCTTCCTAATTACCGTCCTCCAATGAAATGAGCAGAGAAAAAAGGGAGCACCGGCAGTCACTGCGGCGAGGCGGTCCACCCGCCGTGGTGCTGAAGTGAGGCGGCCAAGAACAAAAATTATCGCTTTGCCAGAGCGTCGAGCAAGCCGTACGTTGGTCTGTAATTGCGCGCTGGTTTCATTATTTTACTCTTTTTACAATCAATAAGTCACGCCATTTGTTCCAAATTCTAACATGTGTCCATGAAAAACGGATAACGACCACTGCTGATCTTTCAGCTTGGTCGTTTCTCTTCTTCAAATAAAGAGATTTAGTTTAAGTATGAATGTTAAGTGTATGTATGTTAAGATAATGACACTTATTAAATAATTTCTTGACTTTTTCTCCCATTGATAGTATCGTTTTTGTTAATGAACTATAATTTGCTGGTAAAGAATCGAAACTTGAGGAAGCTTTCAATTTTAATTATCTACCTTTAAAATTAAGTTGGAAATTTTATTACATCTACTAACATCAAAAATGAATATATCATGATAATAATTAACCAACTGACCTGCTGGACTCGGTAGGAATACTGAAGAATCACTAATAGTATTTTGCTCAGAGGTTGCCGATGTACATGTTGTTTCAGATAAGGTTCTTGCTTTCTCCTCTGTAGGTGTTCCATGGAAATCTTCAGCATTCATCCTGTCTGAAGGTACTTTCGGTGTACTTTTGGCAACATTTTTAAACTTTGGCGATGAAATACTACCACTTGATAATACATGTGCCATATCAGAAGCTGTAGCATTTTTGGAACACTAAGAACAAACATTTACACAGCTTGATTAATAAAAACAAAAGCCAATGTTTCAACATACACAGGACTTCAGATTCTTATTATATACTGCAGACATTCTTTATCCCTTAAGATCCTCCCAAGATTCTCACTCCTTCACACTCTTTAAATTTTGTAATATATATTACATTATATATATGTGCCAATAAATTAGAAAACACGACGACAACACTTCAAACACAAAACAAATCAGTTCAATAAAAGTATGAGAAAAAGGTTTGCATTTCAATTACAGAGCAACACACCTTTTTATGCCTTTATGTCTTGAAAAAAAAAAATAAAAAAAATTTAAAAATAAAAATAAAATAAATTTAAATGCAACCTTCCTACTCTTAAGTTGATGTGATTTAACACCGAAAAAAATGGTCTAACATGTAGGTGTATCATATAGTTGAGTAATTTCAGTTTATAAACTTTTATTAGAGTATAAATGGTTACAAGTGTGTTGATGTGAACCAAAAGTGTTTTAATAGTTTCTGTAATTCTAAACCTAAAATTATCAATTTAGTGCAAGAATGCACAGTCACAAGTCAGTTGGCAGAATTTAAAAGCAGATGGGAATGCAGCTATATAATTATATTATATTATTAATAATTATATTATATAATATAATAAGTATTCTATTAGGAGTGCAAAGGATTAAAGACATTTTTTCTAAATTATTACTAAATAACATTTTGGATGTATTTTGTATTAAATTGATTAAGAGCAGAATGTACAATTATTCAGGAACTTTTTGGCAGATAGTTATTATTAAAAATTGTTCTTGATAGTTTTCAATTTTAATTTTTAGTGAAATGTGGGTCATCGTTTTTATATCTGCCACAAAATGTGATTTTGGCTAAATTTCTTTTCCATCTAGATTTGATTGAAAATAAAATAGCTTTGTTTTTTAACACATTGAATACACCACATGGGTAACTCCTGTGTCCTGATCAATATAGCTATTATTTAAAACCTTGTAAATACACATCAGTTGCAGTATTGTCTTTTCTCTTTCAGTCTGTAAGTATTTTATGATCATTTGATTGTAAGATGGTAGCGAGAATGGAATTAACAATTATTGATAATTTTATTTCATTGGTTTTCTCAAATACTGGCAATTCGGATTGTTTATCAATTTCATAGCATTTTAAAGGAAATGAAAACTCTTGGGGAAGCCTTTGAGAAGTCTTGCCAAAAGAATCGTTCACATCATTAGTAATAATGTAATATTTAGTAGTATTGAGGAAAGTAATTTCTATATAATTTTCATGGCTCAAACTAGACAACAGTCCAGAAATAAAATTGTTGTTCACCTCAGAAGAATCGAGTTATCCAGAACCCATATATTATTCAAAAAGTCTTAAATTTCCAATGTTGAGAGTCACTGTGAATTTGACATACAGTCGACTTTGGTTATAGTGAACTTGGATATAGTGAACTTAAGTCAGTGGTCCTGTTTCACTTACATTACAAATAAGCATAAGAAGATTTGGTTATAGTGAACCCGAACCTCAGCTATATAGTGAACATAGGAAATATGTCCTGAAAATTAAGTTCTTCCTGGCAAAGAATATATTGCGTCAGTGCTACAAATTCCAACAGTAGGAAACTTGAAAAAAATATCATTGGCCAAAAGTCATAATCGAAGAAGTCTTCCCTGAGGTGAAGGTAGCGGATCCAGAATGGGGACCTTAGTGATGACTTTATGCCAATCAGGCTGTGTCCGGACATTTTAATGACGTTAAAAAGCGTTTTCTAGGTGCATAGAAATGTCCAAGAGATGTTTATAGCCTGTTAAAGGCGATAAAAGTAGAACGTAAGACATAAGACAGCAGTAAAATGAAGATAACATATCAGATACGTGCTTAGGATCAAACATCTTAAGAAAATATTCTGCTGATTGCCTTAAATGTCAGAAGTTTCATAAACCTCTGCATAATCTATTTTTTTATTTTATTAAAATTGTGGGAATGTATTTCCTGATCTCGTAACTTCCATTTTATCCCGAATGTCTTCAAAAGAAACTTTCTTAACAATCTTGCAGGAAATCCATTTTGCAGGAAAAAACACATTTTTCAAAAAATTATTTCCAAAATACTATATCTCTGATTTTTATACATCAAAATTCTTGTAAATCATGAAGTTTTCATATAAACAAATTTAATTTTTCTTTTTGAGACTTTCCTATACACAAGACTGAAGACTTTTTGAAAATAATTACCCAGAGATTTTCTTTGAAAAGTAAAACTTGCGAACCTGAAAAAACGATTGCAAGATTTATGAGAGCTAGCTACAAAATTTAGTTTTGCACCTTCAACGCTTCAAAAGATTTCATAGGTTTTTGTCCGGATATTTTTTAGACAGTCAGTTAATAAAAAAAATTTTAAAAAAATATTTTCATCAAATTTAGTTTGAACCATATTTTTTTTAATATTATATTATTTTCAAAAGTCTTTCCATCTCTCTCAACATTTTGAGTATTTATTTTCCTCTTCTTCAGGAGTAATTTCATCTCATAATGTGTTTTTTTTCATTTTTCAAACATATCTTACTCTATATCAAAGTCTGAGAGTTACATCTTTTATGAAAGCCCTCTCTGCATTCTGTAACGTCAAACACCAGAGTGAGCACAGATTTGAAATATCTTCATATTCTCTCTTTGGGTTGGCTATTTTTCAATACATTAATTTATTTTCCTTTTAAGTTTATTTAAAATGGTGAAAGTAACAAGAAACATTAGATACACTTTTTCAATAATGTCCACTTCTGTGCATGTAATCTTTACTTACTAAAAGCTCCCATTTAAGAAAAAAGAGCAAAATGTTCAAGTGATTTATTAAACAGAGATTTTCCAATAATACCAAGGGGTTTATTTGCTGAACTACTCTTTAACCTCAATAGATTACCCTTCGCATGACTGATCATTTGGAACAGTTATAACAATCGTGTCAGAAGCTGCATACATCACAATCATGCCAACAATATGTCACAAACTCAAACAGACCGAGAGAAAGACTAAGAGAAGTTTGTTTTACGGATCTAAAGAGGAGCAAGTCTTTTAAACATTTGGCACAAGCAATACTAAAATATTTTGTAAATCAAAGTCAGAAGATTAAATAACAGGCCATTTTGCCAATATATTAATCAATCACTTTGAGGCTGCATATGAAAAGGAAACTTTCTTAGCTCACCACCATTCAAGTACAGTTTTAAATGAAATTTCATGACTTAAGATAAAGAAATGAAACAGGGTGGAATACAAAGAAATCAGTGTAACACACAACACACGTTAGAGCTGAGATAGGGGTGAAGTTGTATTACAAAATCAACTGCCAAACTTCAACTTAGGGTGCAGGAAGTATTACACTAAGAGATCAATATCTGTGATGAGAACACTTAGCTGGAAAGAATGAAAATTGTAAGTCAGCAAATTACTGGATACATAAGACTTTTAATATCTCAGAATGAAAATAACAAGCAGAAACAAAGTGAAGCAGCTTAAAAGCTGATGAAGTGACTTAAAGCTATTTTTAAAAAATTAAAGAGAGAGAAAAGAGTATAATAAATGTTTGCTTGAAGAATATGTTGTGGAACAAATAATTTATGAGAACAACTCAATGACCCTACCAAATCATTATCAGATCTTCCAGTGGAATGGATCTTTATGGAGCACAACATATCTAAAGGAAGAATAAACTCACAAGATAAGTAAGATCTGCATACCTGAACTGGAAAACATAAAAAGATAATCAATTGTTGACGAATGAGTAATGATACTATCTTACAACAATGATGAAGAAATAGAAGGCAGAACTTCCAAATATAAATGTACTCACAAGAGATTGTGGTGTTTTCTTGCGCTGCCTTGCTCTTCTTCTTTGTAAAGAACCAGAACCATGTTCAGAATTAACTTTTGTGTTCTCATAAATGGTGGAAGAAGATAAATTGTCTTGAAATCCATTAGATGAGACAACTGAATTTTCTCTATCTTGAATTGTGTTATTAGATCCCATCATTTGATGCAAAGCAGATTCAGATGTGGAAAAATTTGCAAAACCTGGCTCTTCATCCCTTCCCGGCAGGGAAGAGACTTGAGAGATACCCGATACACTCCAGGGCCTTTCCCGCTTGCATCTTGGATTGGAACGAATAATAACCTATACAGCACAGAAACAATGTAAGTTTACAAAAAAAAATGTTTATTGTATAATTGATTTGCTCCTCCAAACTGAAAGAACAAAAAATACCTTGCTAGAGTCCTTTGGGTCTGCAGAATCTGGACTATTATCTGCTTTTAGGGTGACATTAGGATCACTAAAACCTTCAGCAGAATCCAATCGTGGGTGTGCATTTAATAAAGCATCCAAATGTTTATTAACCAATGAAATGCCACTAGATTCTTCCCGTGAGTCCACAGAACATGCCTCATCTGAATCACCAGTTGTGTATTCACCACTTGCATCACAGCTGTCAGGAAGCTACAAAGAAACGAATTTCAAGTTGTAATATTAATATTAACGTTAATACTACTAAAAATAACAACAATAATAACAATAACAAAGCAGGGAAACTTAAAAATAAAATGCATAAAAAGGTTATTTGGGAACTATCTTTAAAATCAACTCCCAAATTGTCAATTTCCAAAAATACATTAGTCAATAGTGTTAACATAATCAGTCGATAGACATCAGTAGATAGTGTTAATAAAATATTAGACAAAACTTTATGTATACAGTCTTAACTTGGAATTTTTTAATGTAACACTATTGGAAAATTTATTAAAATTGTTTAAAAAAATTGAAACATTTTCAAATTAAAAATAACATTCCAAAAAAATCCCCCTTTTTTCTATTTTTTAATATCCTGCTGAATCCAAAAATATAATTATTTGCATGATTTCTGAACCTTCAATATTTTGTTGACTGTTTTCACTGAGAATGCCCCTATCAAATAATCTCAAATTGCTCTGAAAGTGCTAAAAAACATAATTTGGTTTGTATACCAAGATGCCTTTTTCTAAACCTTTTTCTTTTTAAGATCAACTAACCTGGAATTTGTCTTGTATAGAGGAATGCATTTTCACCCATTGTTTAATTCGAGCATGTCGCAGCTGGCTTATAGTCATCTCAGAACCATGAACTGGAGGGCCTTGTGCATCCTCAGAACACATTAAAGAATCCTCGCGTACAAGGAGCTCAGCCTGACGGACCAACCACTGAATACATTCTGCAGTACAGAAACAATATTAATAACTTAGTGATGTGAAAAAGAAGGACATACAGTAGATTAACAATTATCATAACTGGAATCAAAATAACTTCAAGTTTGAAGATTCAAAGAATTTGGAATTATTATTTGTAGATAATTAGTCGTGATAGTGAAGTAATTTGGAGAGATTTGTTAGATAATTGTACATTTTTAATTTAATGATATAAAAGTTAATATGTACAATCATAAAATAATATTATGATGTATATGTATAATCCAATAAACATATGCATGATACATATGTATAATATAATATTAAACAACAATAATTAAACATATTTTGAATTAAAATCTTTTTTTTTTATTTAGAACAAAAATTATTGATTTTATCTGATGATTATCAAACAGCAAGATGTCCCAATATATCTAAGCATCGTGCTGACTCGCCACTAAGGCAGTAACTAATTTTTACTCTTTTATGTTTTCTTTCAATGGATTGTTGTTTTTCTTCAGATAACCGACTCAACCCAAATCCTTGGGTAACCAGAACTCTAATAACACTGAGAACACTGTATTAGTAATTGGGAGTCCAAATTTGACCAAACACATTTGTATTCAATTTAAAAAGTAATTTCTGGCAAAGAAGTCTATTATTAACCATTTTACTCATCTCAAGAAATCATTTACAAGAGGTCATCCAGTCATTATATAATGCGTAAAAAAAAGCGGGGAGGCAGTGTAACACTGTGTTACATAGGAGTAGGTAGGTTAGTTTAGTTTGGTACAATGATATTTAGTTTATGAATATTCACTATTTAGATAGTATAATACTAAAAAAATATAATTAAGACAATAAAATATTAAAATAATAAGAAAGTAAATTTTTAAACATGTACAATTAATTTTAAAAAGGCACACTGAATAATTTTAATATTATTTAATTAACATAATTTATTTTTGATTATTGTAAATAAAAAGGGGATTGACACAACTGCAGGAAAATTATTTGGGAGGTTCAACCAATAAGTGTCCTACAGGGGGAGGGGCTATCTAAAATCATTTAAATTTGCATCAAGTAATTACTAATTGATAGCTGCTAAGAATGTTTTTCACATTATACATTAATAATGTAATTTAACTTTTCTATAACTTTTCAAATAATTATTGAATACGATTGTTTAGACACAAATGAATTTCATTTTCTTCAAATGTATATAGCATTCAATATCGCTAACAAAGAAGGAAAAGGAAGGGGACAGAGAGGAAGAAGGGGAAGGAGAAGAAACAGGAGGGGAAAAAAGGGCAAGGGAAAGGGAAGAAGAATTGGCAATAGGAGGAGGAAGTGAAACAGAAAGTGAAAGAGAAAAAAAAAGAAATACCATTTTGAGGAATTAATGCAAAGCTATAGAATTTGTACACATGTTGAAAATATAGTTAAAGTGTTCTATTAAAATATCGCATTATATTTAAATTGTCTTGATGTAATTGCAAAAGAAAAAACTGTATTATCTGCCAAAATTATATATTTACATTTCTTTAATCTAATCAAACTTGCAAAAAGCAGCATAACACAAAATAAATAATTATTGATACATTTCTTTTAAGAAATTCTACCAACAACCAAGAGTCAAGTCAAAAATATGCCTCTAAGAGGATACAGAATAATCTCATTAAATTATTTCATGTTTCACTAAATGGCATATATCACTTTATCAAATTCTATTTGGGCTTATTTTCAATTACATTTACACATACTGATATGATGAAAATAAACCTTTAGTTCCTTCTGTTGTTCTTGGTAATGACCGAGCTTCTTTGCAGGAGGAATCAGCTACTCCACTGCACTTGATACTGTCATCGAAATTATGGCACTGCGTGCTGTTCCCCGCACCTTCACTCCCTGATGTTTTTTCGCCAAAGTCAAGGCGAACAGCCACATTTCTTTTACGAGATGGAAGAGACTGAATTCCTGATGCAAGGAAGTTTCCTTTTTCCTTTGCTATCGTTGTTCTTTTCCCACTAGTGTAGGTCCATTCCTCATCAGATGAGTCTTCACACACTTTCACTTCACATATTTTATTATTTAAAGTAGCAATTTCTCCTTCAATATTTTCCTTAAATTGCTTTTGTTCAGAGTCTGTGTCACGATGCTCAAAGTAAAACGTGGCACAATTATGAGCCTTTCGATCTGATCTAAAAAGAAATAGATAATTAAAAGAAAATTCTTATGAGAAAAAAAATATATATTCAAAAATAAAGAACACTAAGAATATATTTGTAATCAGACATAAGTTTCTATTATTGACAATTTTTTTGTATGTATGAAAAGTAACCTACATCAACAAAGATAAGTAAAAAACTTACTTGTTAAAACTGGTGGCATCACTCTCCATGGGTGAAATTCCAGTATTTTGCATTTCACGAGAACAATGAGATCGTTCAGAAAGTGGAACAACCATTTCTGAATTTTTGCCATCAACACTTTTCTTTTTTGAACATTTCTTCACAGGCATTTGAGGTACTATACTATCAGGAGTGATGTTTACACCTACATCCTTACTTTGACCACATACCGATGAACATCTTCTTAAAACAGCAGAACTTCTGGCAGGTGTTGGCAAACTATTAGATCCTGAATCTTTCACCCAGAAATCTTTAATATCATCCTAAAATTTACAAATCAATGAATAGTAAACATGTCTTAAAATTATGTTTAAATTTCAAGTATGTGCATGTTCAATATAGTTTCAAACTAATTAACCATCCATGTAGTCTATTTAATGCTTTAATTTTGCATTAAGAACCAAAGCATGTATCAAAACAGTGTAATTAATTAAGTACATGTTAGATGTCTCAGTAAACAATGCTTTTTGCAATGATACAAATTTTGTCATTTTGGTTTGTCTTTTCTTTTCATTTATTTGTTTTTTTATTATTATTATTATTACTATTACGATTATTATTATTATTATTATTATTATTATTATTATTATTATTATTATTTTATTTTATAGCACCAATGTGATAGAGCTCCAAAGTTGTTGATTGGTAAAAAAAGAGTTTTTAAATTAGTGAAGTATATAATGAACTATTGTATGTAATATTGAGGCTTATAGCAGGTTCACATTAGAAAGATATTATATCACACTTTACCAAAAGCCTACTTCAATGATGCAAGTGATCATTACAGTCCTAAATAATACAAAAATGTGACTAAGTAAGACACTTACGACTTAAAAACTGACAATTTCATTATGCATCTTATATTCTGGGTATCGTCTCCTTGGCTCTATGATACCTTGCAGCTAGAAAGTTTCTCACAAATCATATGGCTAGACATTTTTTATCATTCCGTACAATTCATACTACTGACTGGAAAAGATTTGTTTTTTAATTTAAACATTTTATACCGGCTTTCTTTTTGTAATATTTTATATTTTTTACTAATTAAATTATAGAACACTGCAACCTTAAATTTATTTGCACTATCGCATGTGATTTTCAAATTTGTCTAGTGATCAAATTGGTGGTTACAATGCAACCAACTGCGAACACAATGTCTATATTTACACTATGTATAAAGGGAAATCAACCTTTCTGAAACCTGCCAAAAGACAAAACAGATTGTTTCTGGTAACAATATGATTGAAGTGGAAGTTTAAATACTATTGAATTCAATTTATGCTATATATTGCTACCTATAACTATAGGTAGAATTGTTGAAAATATGCATGTATAATTTTGTTTGTTCTTTCTATTTAAAATCTATGTAACATTCTATACATTTTATACATTTTTGTGTAAATTGAACTGATTGTAAATAAATAAAGTAAAAATCAAATTAAAGAAAATAAAATTGAGAAAAGTTACCTTAATATATGAAAAAGATGACGAATTTTTTTAAAATGTGACAAAAAATATACGAGAAATTTACATAATTAAACATGAAAAATTATATCAGACTTGCAGCACTCTCTAGCAACTGCATTGTCTTTCAAGAAACATGAACAATACTACCTCAAAATATGATCCATCGTCAGTAAGGTGATCACTACAATCTCCACTGCTAAGCCGAGGATGTTTGCTAAGAGGTTCTTCATCACTTTCAGAATACAGATGCTCTGGAAGCTGCAGAACAACCATAAAATTTAATCTGAGTGAGAACCATGTCTCTTAACACATTTGAAAAATAGAGTTCTTGAACACAACAATTGTTAAATAATTCAAGATTACATATATTACACATTCGTATATGCTCCTGTTCCTCACATGTAACATGTATAAACACATATACAAAGTTTTACTTACAGGATGTTTGCGAAGTTTTAATAAATTTTCAAGGTGAAATTGCCATTCTAATGCTCGAAGAAACAAGAGGTGCCATCGCCTCTCTAGACGTCTTGCCAACTGCACACTTGCAGTAGCTTCAGCCAGCTCAGCTCGTTTCAGTACAGCTGCAACTACTTTTCCATGAGCTCGAATGTCTTGATGAAGCACCTAAATTTGCAAGGGACATGATTATCACTTTTCCAAGCACACTTGCCTTTAAAACTTAATTTTTGCATTTACTTTTTTCTCTTGCTCAAATACCAAAAGTTGTCTGTCATTTTACAATTATTGTGCATTTTAAAAATAAAATTTTCCACTACAGGGATTGGATAAAATAATTGAATGCTATTCAATATAGTATACAATTTTTCCATGTTGACACCACTGAAGATGTTAAACTGCGGCATTACAACACAGCTGCATTGCACAATTGATATGCCATGTTTTGAAGGTTACATTGCAGAGTATTAAAGACGTTGGCCTGCTGCAGTGAACACAGTAATGGGTGAAATGTGTGATCTCTCAGACTTTGAAAGAGGGCAAATTGTTGGTGAGCAGTTAGCAGGAGCATCTGTGATGAAAACAGCTGAACTGTTTAACGTTTCATGACTGTGTCCACAGTCTGGACAGCATACACAAAACATGGTAAATCATCATCAGAAAAGAGGAAAAGTGGCCAAAAGCTGAAGTTAACAGACAGAGAAAGACAAACATTCAAAAGGATTGTGGCCAGACAAAGCAGCACTGCAGCAAAAGTGATAACAGAACTCTATACTCACTTGAGTAATACTGTTTCCACAAAAACATTATGGCAGGAACTTCACAAAGCTAACATTCATGGAAGGACTGCAATTGCGAAACCCTTCATAACGGAAGCCAATGCAAAGCTATGAAAGAAGTGGTGCCACAATCATAAAACCTGGTCATTTGATGCTTAGAAAAATGTGGTATGGTTTGATGAATCATCTTTACATTGTTTCCTACAAACAGATGGACTTATGAATGGAAAACCTCAAAGCAAGACCATGATTCGGCCTGCCTGCTTCCTACAGTCAAGCATGGGGAGGTTCCGTTATAATTTGGGTGACTGTATCATGGTATTCAGCTGCTCCTATCATTAACCTCACTGGTTGGATTACAGCAAATGCATATCTCAACATCCTCAACAACGAAGTGCCTACAAAGACTAACATATTGTCACCAAAAACTGGCTTATTCCAAGATGATAATGTGCCCATACACACATATAATATAGCTTCCGGCTTGGCTTGTGGAGCATACGTAAATTATTAAACATCTTCCCTGGATAGCACAATCACCAGACTTCAATATAACTGAACAGTTGAAGAGCATTATAGTGCAGAGAGTAAGGAGCAGATTTTCCATCTCCAACATCGTTGACACAATTGGCAGATGTTTTGGTACAAGAATGGAAGAATATTCCATCGAAATATATTCTGACATGGTACAAATGTATTCTGTCACGAATTGCAGCCGTTTTAAAAATAAATGGTGGCCCACTGCCTTATTAATAAATAAATATTCTATGTAGACAGGAGTTCATATTATTATATCCAATCCTTGTACATAATTTTATTTATTTAAATGTCATCACAATCTCAGTTAAAAAGTAAAATTCACTTCCCCTGAATTTTCATTACTAATTAATTCTAAACTCACTTCACATTCTGTGATCTTCTCCACTAGCTCCTGGTTGGTCCAATCATTCACAATGAGCATATTTAAGGGCTTTAATCTTCGCTCCATCTCTCTGATCCACTCTTTCAAACAGTCTGCCTCATGTTCTACATCTAATAAAACAAATCAAAAGATTGTACAAAAAAGTTAATTATAATATTAAGCATCAGTTACCATAAAGAATGATAAAAATAAACAAACTGCATTCATTCTATTAATTCATTGTATTATCTCCAACATTTCAAATGATGAAGGACACATTTATTTATTTATTTATTTACCAATATTACTTTGTTATGTACCAATAACATAGTACAAAACCTCAGGATGTACTTTTGGAAAACCATTTATATAATTACTCACCTGCACAAAAACTTTTCTGCGATGGGTCAACTTTTGAAGGACTGATTGACTGCTCCAACATGTCCCATTTGCTATTAAGATAATTAACTCTCCATGTAACTTCATCTTGAAGTTCAGAATGTTCTAAAAGTAATCGTTTTGCTTGCTCAGTAAAGAGCTTACGTTTATACACATTGCGTTGCATTCCTTCCACATGTTCCTGAAAGCCAAAGACAAAATATTTCAGAAAAATTTTCAAAATAGTATGTAACAGAGCCTGCAAATATTGTATGTTTGAAACCAAATCCAGGATAGCGTTTAACATATATAATTTTTTGAACTAACAATAATTTTCTCAACACGACTGAAAGAATCTGATTTCGGTTCCAGACAAGGACTAAAGCTAATCCGTGATAGCATCAGTCATAGACAACTTCATCACGGTAACACTCAAGTTTGCAGGTAAGTAAGGTTGATTATCAATTCTGCCAAATGTATGGTTTGATCGAAGGTTCATTTTTCAAACAAAAAATTTCATTTAACTAAATTTTAAAATGCTCAGAGAGAAAAATGGCGCATGTTGAAGGATGAGAAAGAAAACACATGATGGATGGATGGACACCCATCTGGATGAAACCATGAACAGCTGATTTACTTCAATTGCATAGTTAAATAAATCCAGTATAGTTTTTGAAAATTTAGACAACAAGTCCCAACTTGGCTCTTCCAATCTTTTACTTTTTCTGCAAACTGAAAGCATTTTAAAGATTTCACTCACTTCCTCGTCAATGTCAAAGACTATTTGGTAAGCATCATCTTCTAGCATCCAGATCATTTAGGCTCAGGGATTGTAATGAAATTTTTTAAAGAGATACTCACATTATTTTTTGACCAGAATTCGTTAAAAAAATAAAAATAAAAAAAGAAAGTTTATTGTTCAATTTAAATATAGTGACTTGTGACAGATCAGCTCTTATCCTATTGGGTGATTCAATACCTCAGTTTAAAGACATAATGAAGCTCCTGATTGGATAATCACATCCATCTGATGATCTGCCACAAATCACTATATATTAATCAGACAAAAATTTTGCTTCGACACATTAAAAAAAGGGAGCGAGTGAGAAAGAGCCAGAGAGAGAACGAGAGAGAGAGAGAGAGAGAGAGAGAGAGAACGAGAGAGAGAGAGAGAACGAAAGAGAGAGAGAGAGCGAAAGAGAGAGAGAACAAAAGAGAGAGAGAGAACGAGAGAGAGAGAGAGAGAGAGAGAGAGAACGAAAGAGAGAAAGAGAGAGAAATAAGAGAGAGTGAGAGAGAACGAGAGAGAGAGAGAGAGAACGAGAGAGAGAGAGAGAGAGAGAGAACGAGAGAGAGAGAACGAGAACGAGAGAGAAAGAGAACGAGAGAGAGCACGAGAGAGAGAAAAAACGAGAGAGAGAAATAAGAGAGAGTGAAAAGATGGTTAGTAATGATTATTCGTTTTAAAAATAGTATTTACTTACAAGTCTTAAATTTCGATCCCTAATATTTTCTTCCTTCCCATAAACAGCCTCTCGTATATCATTCAACCAGGAACATAATTCAGAAAATTGTGCAGTAAAATCTTTGAAACTCCACTTGGAGAGGAGGGCTGTTTCTTCTTCATCACATGACAATTCCCCATGGGCTTCCTGAGAAGTTATGCAAACAAAATATCCTTAATATAAGAATGATACAAAAACAAACCACCAGTTAGCCAATTCTAATTAAAATAGAATTGAGAATTATAACTTTTACAAATAAACCAGAACTGCCATAATTAGCCTGAAAACCCAAATTTGATTATCAGCTTTTTATACACATATTTCCAAATTGAGGGTTTTTTAAGATGACCATTTTAATTAACACAATACATCAATAATTATGTACACAATAGCAATTTATAACACTTATGGAACATCAAAAAATTAATTTTGTATTTATTGTAACTTAACTGCATACAAGACTAAACAAGATGTACAACTAAGCAATACCATTTGTTAATCAGTCAACTACATGTTGTATAAATTACGCTAAATATCTTTAGATTAGAAACTTGTAAGATTCTTTATTTCTATAAAAAATATATTCTCTTGAATTAATATTAATTAATAAAATTTCATTTTATTGTGATGGAACACAGGTCACTAAATATGAAATGTAAATACTCTAAAGAGTGTATCCCCAGATATCATGGGAGATTTCATATGGAGTCCATAACAATGAATTGGAGTCCCAAATTCAGTTTTTGAAGACCTAATTTCTTCACATATTGAAGATAAGGAAGGACAGAGAGTCAAAATTAATATCTTTTCAACCAAATTGAATATGAAAAGAAAGATTTCAGAAAAGGGGTCATCAAAATCTAAATTATTAGTTCATCTAAATAAACTTTTTAGAAATAAGCAGAATCTTGCATATTTGGTGAAAAATGTCTGTAAACTGAAAGATAGTATGTGAAAATGTTGAAACAAAGATGAACAAAATTATCGAGTACCAACAATAACATAAGCAAAAGAAATGGTTTTGCTCAGACTCCAGAGTTTGAGACATTTTTTTCTACCCACCTTACAACTTTCAATGAGATTATTGTCCATGAGGTAGTTATAGTTAGGTTGTATAGCTGCCCAAAAATCATCCTTCTTCTCTTCTTGTGTTCCCCAGGAACGTCGCCACATTTCTCGCTCTAAATTCACTCTGAAAAATATAATCAATAACAAATTACGAATCTGATCAAAATACAGATAACAGTCACAAAAATTAGCAAAGAGCAATTTCTTTTACAACCCACTTCATAAAGGCCAAAAGTTTGAGGAAAATTGGAAATAAGTAGAGATAAAAGAAGAAATTAAAAAAATAAAAAATAAGCAGCAAAAACAAATTAACAAGTTATTTCCAAGTTAACTCTGTCAACAATTCATGATAGTGAGTGAAGCATCATCATAGCACCATAATACATATGATATTCTCATTTAATTATTTTAAAACTGAAATTATCTTAAAAATACTGAAATGATGTTTCATGAATACATTTTACACATCTCAGCAAGACTGACTGAATGTAGAGAATTAGAAGTTATATTATTTATGTATACTTAAATAGCAATTTTTATTTAAATTAATTTTTTATTAACAAAGTACTGTTTCATGAATAATTTATTAAATTGATAAAATATACACAAATAAATTTTGAAATTAATATTGCAGATAATTATAATTTAAAATAATGTACTGTATTTATAGATTTTTATATTGAATGCACAAAATATTCATTTTTTTATACTCGTATGACAGATTCCATGTGTTCCCAGCAATAAATTAGAGGCCATGCAACAAACCATCAATTCAGTATGAAATACAATATAATACTTAATATAGTAATACTTATTATAGTATACAATATAATACAATACTTTATGGTTTCCTAAAAACAAAGTATCATCCTTCTAACAATTTGTACTCAATTTGTACGATTTGCACTTCCCTTTCATTAGTCACATACAGTCTTTATTGTCCTTTTGGCTACAAATACACTTGCAAATCTTCATGAAATATTGTATAACAGAAGACCATGGTCTGATAACATGTGTGTGTAAAGAAGTGAAGTGATATTGTACCCTATTACTTCCATTCTCACTGCAACTTTTTATTAATTATCTCAATTTAAAATGGATGATGATCATGACACCTTTGACACTTTTGAGAAATATGCAAATTCTCCACATTTTATAAGTGTAATTTCAGAAGAATGTACCTCTTAGTATAATGAAGGTGATGAAAGAAATGAGAATATGTAATAGACTCAGAGGCAGTGGAGATAATAAGTGTTGTGAAGAAGCCGGATAGTAAGGATAAACAGAGAGGTCAGGTAATGAGGTTGCGCAAGTATTTTTGGTTGTAATATTTCTCAGATGTCTTAATAAAAAACTTGCTTCACCCACGCATAGTGAAACGTAACTTTTCTATACAATCATAAAAATTGTGTTTGCTCAATTTCCATTTTTCATTTAAAATAGTATTGGGAGACATGATGTAATGAAGTTTGGTTTTTATTACCTACTATTTTACAAATAGTAACCACAATATTTATCATCATATTGAATATTTATTAAGTAATTACGTAAAATAACCAAAGCAATATCAAATATTTAATGTTCATTGTAATAATATGTAAATGTTTTTCATTTACATCATTACTGACAAAAACTTTTACACTTTTTATATAATGGAAGAATATTATACAGCTTACAAGTTTAAATATGAACTTCACATAATTTATACTTCATTTAATTAAAAAAGTTAATCAACTCACCAAGCATTATCATAAATTATTGCACAGCAAATATTACAAAATATTACAAATAGAACTTAATTTAAGATGGTACTGAGGATTAATTTATTTTCATTGAGACCATCAAACAATATTTAATATTCTGGAATGCCACACCAAAACAGATATTTAGTTAAAATATAATTTTAACTCTCTTAATTAACATAAACTCTGTGTTTCCTCTGGCTTGAAATGAAGGTATTTGTAAATGGATCCAACCTCTTTAAATGTAAATTCTACAATACAAAAAAGTGTGCCCAAAAGTTATGTAGTAGACAATTACTTCCATTCTCAACAATGAGTAGGGGCTTGTTTAGAAAGACTTTTTTAAAAACAAATCTCACAAAGAGATGACCATACAAAGGTTTATAAATTCAGTAACAAAACAGCAATGAATTGATGAACATAATCCTCACAGAAAATGAAAGAACTTTTCTTGTGTTAAGTTTCCTTGAACAGCTTCTGCAGTTCATTAAAAGAATTTGATCATCAGGACTTGAACTTAAAATCCAACAAAATCCAAAAGCTGTGAGGAGTTGTTTATTAGCTCATGTGGTTGACAAAATCAAGTGAAGTGAATGAAAGAAGGCAAGCCAAAAAGCATGCAAGAAGAATCAACCAACCATATATTACATCAAACTACCCCCCCCCCAAAAAAAGCAAATAATAAACCCATTACCTTGACTTTTTGGTTAGGCTGTTGTATGGCCTCTCAACTTGCATCATTACTTGTTGGGGACTTCCTTGTCCCCCTCCTGATTGCAATGAGGAAAGTGAGAAGCTCATTTTTAGTGCAGAATTCTCAAAACCTGAAACAACATTAGAAATACAAAACATTAATTAGCTGACACTTACTTCTTTTAAATGAGTACCTACATATTACAAAAAAATTTTCAGAGATAAAAGAATGATATTCTACATATGGTCAACAAGAATTTAAACATTGAACATGTATCCATGACAATAATACATTTAAAATACCCCTTTCTCGTAGACGCAACAGGTATGACGTCAGTGAAAGTTATCTATATAGATAGACAATGATAACGTACAAAGTGAGAAACAATCAGCACAAGAAAGTTAACTGTTAGGTCTTTGTGTTGACGGAGGTTTTCTAAGGATTTCTTTCTTAGCAAATCGGCTTTAATTTTGCGTACGTTAAGTAGAATGATATGCCAAAACCCGAAGAAAATAAATTCCTGGCGCGAGTCGGGCATTCCGATGGCAGGCGATTCAACGGGCAAACGGACAACTCCGTCGAACACACGAAGTCGGGAAGCCATGGCTGACGCTCGCAATCAGGGGCCTCTTCCGCGAGAACCTGGGAAGCGCACCTCCAGACGTCTCCGGACGCCTTCAGAGCGCGCGTCGCGGTGGCGCGGGGGAGGCGTCGGGGATGGGCAACTGCCCGCGGCGGCGAGAGCGCGCTGCCTCGCGCCCGCCGCCTCCCACAGATGGCGCTGCACCTCCCGCGCACCATCGCACTCGGCACCAAATAAGCCGGGCGTGAGAAATGCTGAAGCTGATCACCTCAGCGAGCCGGGTTAGAATTGAGCAAATAACGCTGTTGAAGTTTGTAAACAAAGGCGATGACCAAGAAAGTTTGTTATTTGTGATATCGGCCGTGTGCCGTTCCAAACTGTTCGTAGTACCACCTTCTTATAAGAAAGAAGAAAATAATTAACAAGTTCATTTTCTTTAATTGAGAGTACTCATATGCCAGTTTGCTAATATTATTTTAACACACGGCGCACTATTATAACTTAACGATCGACAAGAATGGCTTTCCCTTCTTCTGTTCAGTTGCGTTATGTATTGATATAACAACACATTATCACGAAAAGCAAATGTCTAATTTGTTTCGTGAAGTTCCGTAATAAATAAAGCACTGTACCAAACCGAGTGACAACCTATACTTATCTATTTTCAGCTCTAGCGACGTTCAAAGCAAGCGTAAATCTGTCATCCGATTTTGTCCGAATAGTACTGTGTAATACTTTTGATCTCCACTCACCCCCACCTCCAACACAATACTTTCCCATACATATTTTAATAATAAATGGCTATTCTTTTTCAAAGATTCCCAACCTTATTCAAAAGAATGCAAGTCTACAGCGTGATATATTTCTGATGTCGTAAGACACTTCAAAGAAAGTTCAATTTTTCTGTACGTTGAAATGAAAACCTGCCTGAAAGAGAATTCAATTCAAAGCAAGATCAATGAGCAAGCAGTTGTATCTGAAACCGGAGGAGTCGAAAACTAGCACCGCGCCTGCTGGTTTCTGCCGCAACCGCTTACACGCCATGCAGATGCGTTGTGCGGGTTGCCTGCGCCCAGGCGTTCGCGCGCAGAGGAAATTTTTAACGCAAGACGATTTTCTTCTCCCCCTTTCACTAAACTTCTTGGAAATAAAAAAGCAATCTTCTGACCATCCACAAAAAAGTGATGTACTATTGTATTAGTACGTCTATCAAGAAAACTTCGCATTCCTTGGTGAGAATAGAGACTTATTTTGCAAAATACTTCTAGAACCTTCAAAACTTCCAACCGTCAGCCCCTTATTTTGTTTCTTGCCTTCCACGATTTCTCCATTTAGTTAACATTCATACCACTTTCATATCATTTTACTTTAACCAAGTTACTCTCAAATTTGATTATCGTGCGAATAACTGAAGCGAAGTCGTGGAAAGGGGTTCCACATTATTATTATTATAATAGCTAGAAGATACACGCTGCTATACGAGGAACAATAAATTGTGGTGGTTAGGAGTTATTTTCGAAGTGATCTTCCCCAGTACTCATTCCCATGTCGCTCGTCTTCTTCTTTGTGCACAGTAATGGCAATCGTACAACATGCACGTAGCTGTCTGTGTATAGGAAGAGGAACGTAGCTGTCTGTGTGGAGGAAGAGCTCAGGAAGTAGGAGACGGAGAGATGATGCGAATTATTGCGGGAAAAGACCAAAAACTCACTAACTTCACACTCATACATACGAAAATAAAATATTTCTTAAACTATCAACTGTCAACGTACGATACACTATGCGATTATGGAACCTACATTTTATTACATTGCTAATAAAACGCAGATGGTAAGAGGGGCGGAAAGAGAGGTCCCAAATATTTTTATGTTTATTTTACCTGTGCAAGAATTTTCGCATCCTACATTTTCCTTGGAATGGGGATAACCGTAAGACCCGAATCCTAAAAATGTAGTAGAAGGTCCCAAAATATATCATTTTGTAGCATGAGGAACATTACGGTCTAAGGAATTCGGTGGCATGAGGAACGTAACATCGAGGTCTGTGTGTTTTAGAGCCTTAAAACTAAGTTTGAGCGTCGAAAACCACATTAAGGCCCTACGCCGCAACGTTTTTTTAATTAAGTCGTACATAGTCGTCAAGAAACAGACCGTTAAGTGGGTCGTGTGTTACGGAATCGCATTTACGTTTGCTCACTTTAGACGCATTTTTACGAATATCAATAATTATAGAGGGGGGGGATCGTCACCTCTGCGTTCAACTTTCTTTCAAGGCTTCTACCTCATTTCTTAATGTACGTTGGTTGGGTGTAAGAGCCGCAAAAAGAAATAATATAGGTGATTCGTAAGACACGTGGACAAAATGACACCATCATTTTCATCAAACGAGAAACAAGCGCACAAATAAAACAGTATGATATGCAAAGAATCTACGTTTGTTTGATTTTTCCATACTACATAACACACTAGCCGACCTGGATCGCCAATGCGGCTGAATACCATCGAAGCACCTCGATCCGACAAGTTGTGGATTCTATTACCACTCTAGGCTTGGATGTTCGTCCTATGTCTTTCGTGTACGGGTTGTCACGGAGAGCCTTGCTTTCTGATGACCTCAAATTCGAGGAGCCCGCACACTTTAGTGTGATAAGCTCAATGAAAGACTCGAAATACATTCCGTAAGGGTGCAGGGTAACCGGTTTCGGATAGAAAAGCTCCAACAAAACAAAACTTAGACAATTAGATAAGTGTGGGGTGTCGCTGCAAAAAATACTATGTATATACGGAAAATAGTAAACCTCCAAAACATGTTTCCATGTCGTTCAGTATGAAGTTCGACGACCAATGTAATAAGGGAAGAAGGATACAAGGGAAGAAGCATATTCTGGATTTCTGCAATTTTCTAAATGTCAGAGGTTTTAATGATGTTCGAAACAATACCCTACACCTAACTGCACTTTCTTCTATATGAGCAAAACATTTCAAGAAAAAAAAAATCAGTCATTTTCAAAAAAATGTTGAAAATGTCCTGGGAGCTTTGTACAGAGTATTCCTCAAAATTAAAATATCATAATGATTTCTGAAACAGCACAACTATGTCAAACTCTTGAGTATTTACCAAGTTTCAGCTCAACAGCTTTTAATCTGACAGAATTATACGGGATATTTATCCATCCACAAATCATTTTTCGGAAACAAAATAGCTCGAACCTCCTCTCCACGTGCACCAATCCTCATTATTTTTGGAACAGCACTAATAGACCTTAATCCTGACGTGTGTGCGACGTACAGCTGATAAGGACCTTAAACACTGTGTTACGACCTACATTTGAGATCATATATTGTTGAGGTAATTCCATTTTTTTTCTGTCAATAGCAATCCTTTCGAAAATTTTGCACATGGAATATGTATAAATATTCTTTAATTCTAGGAAAATTTTAAAAAATGGGTTTTTGGAGTTTGTTTTAGTTTTTGAGAGTATATTTCGTTTCTTTTTGTTTATGTTATTTGCAAAAAAACTGCCTCTATCAAAATCGAAGTCATGTCAAAACTACCCTTATTTTGAAAAAAATGAACATGGCATCATTTACAAATCTAATTTTGAAGAATAGATTCACTAAGACAAAATCCTAATTTCAATAATGTAGTTTTAAAAGAGGATAAAAAATAACCTTTTGCTATTCTCAAAAACTCACGGGTTATTCAGGGGCCGAATCTCGTTATCCAGCGGAGGAAGACCTCAGCCCCTCCGGAACAAAAGCATGCACTACACTTAGGGGACTAATGACCTTAGTAGTTTACGCGCCCGGAATTACTAACAATCAATCAATCGTCCTGATTGGGGAAAATCAGTTTTTGTGATACGGTTAAGGTGCTAATGTCGTTCACGGGCAGGGCCAACGGACGGACAGATATATATATTTTTTTAACTCTCTTTCGGCATCAGGGACTTTTAAGAGCGTAGATCCGCAAAAAGCCCGACATATTTCCTCTTTAATATTTCCTACGCCGATCCTAAATTCAAAATCAGTTGAATGTCATTTTCTCTTTAATGACACGAAATAACTTTTTTTAAATTATTTAAGGTCACATCAACTTCTAGGTCATTAGCGGCCACTGTTGCGTCTAGCGGTATGGTAACTAGGAGGATAACACGATATGATGATAATAAAGGGGAAAGGACGAACACAAGACAACCATGCCCGCGGCGGGACTCGAACCTGCGATCCTTCGGTCCAAGTTCGCTACGGCACTACTGCTTTGCGAAAGAACTTTGATAAGTGAGAATTAGGAACAATGTACAAATCGACCCATGGTCTTCGAGCCTTCACATGTATTAAAAAAATACACCAAGAAGGGACTATCTTGATAGCTACTGTTTGGCTACTGCTGGCCAAATAACTGTACGTTACGTCTATATGCTCAATTTGGTAATGCATACGTAGGCAGATGGCTCACTTGCAAAAGAATTTGACATAACTTCCAGCAAAGTCATCAACCAGCACGACCATTTTTTTTTCGACCTGTCAAATTGGTCCCTTATTAAGAGTAATTTCTCTATATAAGTAAAGCCTCCTTCCGAACAAGGAGTGAACGGTTCACGTCGTAACACCAACAAACAAATTCTATCTTCAGAAATTGTTTTGAAAATTAAATAAATGAAGTTATACATATGGAATTTAAGCCACATAAAGGCGGACTCGTAGAATTTCCTAAACACGGCAGACTACTATTTGGTTGATATTGTTCATAGATATTAACTGTAATAGTTTATTCCTTTAAAATGTAATAAATTTTATATGGAGAATCTAATTGCTAAAAGTAACGCAATACCGAATTTTACATCTAAACAAAAACGAAAAAGCATGTTCCTTGCCAAACTGGGATTAATTTCGAAATATTTAAATAAACATATTTTTTCATCACTGCTCTGAGGTCAAGCATTAAACAAACGTAACTTCCCTGAAAATTTACATTTCTATTAAACAGCACAGTATTCCGAAAAAACAAAAATGGCGATGACGACTATCAAAGCCCATAATATTCATACTAAAGTTAAAATTCACAAAACAACTCACCTCCGATTGATCTTCAGAATCGCATGGCTTTAAATAAAAAGTTATCCTGGAAGTCCATGAATCTTAGGTGCCGGGTAGGAGGTACATGGTAATGGTAGGATACATCAGTTCACTGTGAATTGCCACAAGAAAGTCTCACATCACTCTTTCACGATTTGAAAAGAAACTCGAATACATATTTTGAGCGCCAAGATTCATTAGTTCTAAATAATAATAGTTTTTCAACGCAGTAAATCACACGATTACTATTCTTGTTTCTTCAAGATTCACATTCACACTAAAATTAAGAACAGAATACATGTAGGAAAGTTTCCAATTCATGTTGTGTTGCCTCCCACCAGTCAATGTTTGGCACTCTCACCTAAACACAAGACGCATAGTGTTGTCTGCGTCACTTGCGTGATGTCTGACGCGTATTTTGATAAAAGGTTATCGAGTGATAAATATGTTATCATGAGATAAGCGAGATTCACAGGGAATAAAATTTTCGGGGGGGGGAGGGGCTTTCTTTCTCCAAATTTGTTTATAGCAATACTGGCGGTGATACAACAGCACGTACTTTCTTGCGACATTGTCAATGGCTATGTTACATTATAATATGACAATTTCTGCCTCAAGAAATGAAAAATACGCTAAAGTGAATTACAAACATGGTTTATTGAAGGTTACATCGAGCTCAATATTCTGCGTAGTACGTGCCCTCAGGTAACCTAAGCTTTAAAATAAATCTGAAGAATTATATTTCATCCGCGTACGCTTAGGTTAAGATGTGAAACACGCTTACAGTATTAAAATTTGTTAGACTCAGAAATGAGTAACACTGAAAATTACAGTACCACTCGCAACAAAACCAACATGCCCGAAATAAGTATTACTCGGGCAACTTTTCTTGAACGATGGATTGACGATTTCGGGTGGAGTGGGGGTATTAGGTACAAGAAGTGGCCACTAGATTATTATAGTAATGCACACGTCTGTGAAATGAAAGTCAAAACTGCATTTTGTGCTTAACTTTTTCGGGATTTTAGGTGATCTCTTGAAGGACCTGGACCTGACTCAGCCATTTCTTTCGATATTGATAATAAACCTGAACAGCTCTGCATTATGAAAGCAAACTGGCTTTGACTAGCTTCTGTTTCGCGCCAACGAAGTTTCAATGCTTGGAGGTTGTATCCATGCCGCTGCGAGCCTTTGCGTTCAACTGTTTCTTGCACAAGGGAGGGGGTTCAAGGTCATCGTTCAAGAAAAGTTGCGCGAGTAATACTAAACAACATTCAAAAATCAAAGAAGCTGCCAACTTGAGATAAGCAAACAAGCAAAACCCGTTAGATGCATCGATCGCTGATTTTTAACGAGACACATCCGCTGTTGGTTCCTGTGAAGATACACACACGGATATTCTTATACTTCCTGGAAGATAAGTCACTCCGTCAGGCCACAAGCATTTCCGTTCCCACCACTTATGGCGCGACGTCGCGTCACCTTGGCACTATTCACTCAGATATAAATCTGCTTCGTTGCAGCGTTGAAACTCATGTCGTTAGAAACAGCAATACTTAGATTTGCAATTAATAGAGTAAATGCTCCATTCACTCAGTTTATTTGCTGGTAATTCGATTTAGAAATCGACGGGAAAAGTATGGTAGCAAGAAATGAAAATGTGCCGTCATCAATCCGCCTGCATAGTTCCATTTTCCCTTCAAATCCCTTACGGGGCTACGGCTTCAACAATGAGAATATAATTCAAGAAAGAGAGGAGGGTACTAAATGAGGAAGTAAGAGAGGGAGAGTAAGCGAGAGAAAGTGACTCATTACACCCGGCGACGGAATTTCATTTAAATATTCCGTCGATGTTATTTTTTCGCCCACAAGCCCAGTTATTGTTCACAGGGCAAGTACATCAGCTTTACTGCACCTAATCGTCTTTCCGCCCATCAGCCAAGTATGAGGGCTGGAGCGAAGGGGCTTTGACGCGGCGTCGACAACAAACTTTGATGTTGCCAAACATCGACGTTAATAATACTTCGACCAAATTGCGTCGATATTTTCAAACCATGATTTAAAGCTGGTTTTGTAACCTCTAATATTAAATCAGAGCGCAACAAAACTTAATTTGACAATCGCCATGTATAATAATCTATAATTAAAATTGAACTGAAAAAGTTATAAACCGCCTCTCCATATGCGAAATACGAGGTAAAACGAAGAAAATTACAGGTCATTACGATCACCTCTGGTGAAGGAACTGTTTCTTGAATGTAGTACAAACCGCATTCGTTTTTTCGGTTCGGTAAAAACGAATGTTTTCGGTTCGGAAACGTAGGTTGTGTTGTCAGTTATTAGTTATTATTTCATAGTTTTCAAAATTGAGATCACGGGAACTTTTTATTTACAAACAAATCGTCGAAAACCTAAAAACATCTAGCACAAAAAAAAGCAACATCGGCTTCAATACATCATGTTTAAAACATCGATGTTTTATAAAAACATCGGCATCCAGTCACATCCCTGGTGGCAGTTCGGAAGATGCGGCCATCCGTGAAATGGGTGGCGGTATGGCCCATGGCACAGTCCTGTTCGTCGGGGGGGGGGNGGGGGGGGAGGGGGGGGCAGGGCGCTTCCTGACCGCCCGAGGCGTATTCCCCATCGCAAGTGGAGCGTACCTCACCGCCGGAGGTTACAGGGCGCACGCGCAGGCGGTTAACAGAATGTTCGTCCATACTTTTGTCCAGTTGTGATTTTGCTTTCATTAAACAGATTTTTAACCTGTTCGTTTTTTGTTCTATTTGGCAAATATCTTGTCCCGGATTCGGTCCAGATTTCTTGAAATACTTGGAGTCATGCCGAAAAAATAAATCAACTGAAAGATGGGTATTTATTACCAAGGATCGGACTTTTTAAATACATATTTTTTCCCCTTTTAATCTCAAGTTTGAAATTTCAGTGGAAAAGTGGCGCTTTATAGTTTCCATACATCAAATGACCGCTTAAAAATAAATATTTTGCTTAAGTTGCATAAAAATAAATATTTTTGTCGAAACAAATATTATTACGTATTTTGCATAATTTTATATGAATAGACGAAAACTTTGAGCATTTTCAAGTCTAATACTTTCAAGTTTTTTAATATATGGGTAAAGACAAGCCAGTTTGCAAATGAAGTGGTTGTTCACACATCACATGTTACTGCGGGACTTCTCAGATTGAGTGAAGTGAATCTGGTTCACGACATGTGAAGATTTCTGAGGGCCATTCTAACACTACTGTCTATTCAGACAATGACACTCAGCGATAACTCACAACATGAACTGCTCCCAAAAATCCTTAGATACACAGACCAAAAGTGCAGAATGTTAAAGAGAAAGGCGTCAAGACTTCTCTTGATTTCGTTACTGGCTTTCATAAGGGTAATAAATAAATATTTGTGTCGTTTTAACCCACATTTTTAAGCACATGAAGAATAAATATTGTTCGGTTTTTAGCATCTAAAAGACCGAGCCATATTTATTGCAACGCAGAAATCATAAATCAATTAAGTTTCGTTTTAAAATGTGTAATTTCCTTTACATCACTTCGAATCTTCGTTCTACGTGTTGCTGTGTAGTTTAGGGAGATTAGAAACTGCCCCGAAGTATTGCTTCAGTTGTTCTTTATTTTTAATGTAATGTCCTGCAACGTGTTCGACACGTTCTTGCTTTGAAATTTACTGTTGTATGAAAATGCAATGGACTTACTTCAACTGACTGTTATTGATCGGACCGTAGATACATTGAACCACTTTTGTGAGGACTGAAAAATCTACGAATGAAATTTACTATTGAACGAAAATTATGTGGACTAACACGACTGAACTTTAGAGTGTTGGCATAAACATTCGTGACACCCGCACTGAAGACACTTAGACACACATACGCATACACATACACGTATCCATACACACACTTTGATGCCTGTGCCTCGACACGAATGAACGCTAACCACAAAATTCGATCATTTAGTGCGCGTGGTGTCTAGACTTGCTGTTCAATAACTTTTTTATCGTGAAATCCACGAAATTCCTCATTCGCCTTGGCACTGTTTTGGGAATGCAATCACTGGAACACTGGGGTCGTTACGCACGTGGGCCCTTGGGCCGATGGTGTTCTGCGCAGAAGCACTGGAAGGCACGTCCAGGGAAAAGACGCCAGTTGGGCGACTAAGCAACGTCGACTGGGTGAGCAACGAGCAGCCAGAAGATTATTCGATACAAGATCAGTAAGTACCTACCTCCGGCGACTGCCCTGGCGGGAGAGGGGGGGGGGGCACGATTACTAATTGCTAATAGCTATTGATATATTCCCTGCATTTGTATTGTAGCATTAATTAAGGAATGATTGCTTGGAAATTTGGCGAGAGGTCTTTATTGCACTTGCTGATCAACCTCACTGCAGTCTTCTGCGATGTTTTCAATCCCATGAATCCTGACATAAATCTGTAGTGTACGAATCCTTATTATCTACGTCACTCTGCAGTTTTATATCTTTGCAAGAGCCGGATGGATCTACCATGTACCATCACATTATGGCCGTAAGTCAAAGATGATGATTATGATAACGATGATAATAATGACGATGATAATAACAATAATAATAATAATAATAATAATAATAATAGCGACTCGAACTTGAAATATTTCTTTTATTTAAAATTTATACAACTGAATGAAGTTTAGGTTTGTCCCTATCTCCATTTGTCTAGTCATTTCAATATACCTATTGAGTGTGAAATTCAGAATATCAGGAAACGAACTTGCACATGTATGCCAAATGGCTGGTTTACCACGCCCATTCCTTAGGCATTACTTATTTTGAACTTCCTTGAAGAATGAAGTCATGATTCTCGATAACCTTGAGGTATACGCTTCCGTCCTTATCGCAAGAAAACACCGCATGGTACCACGCTGTTTTTGTTGACATTAAAAGAACATTCTTCTCTATCGAACTAGAACACTTAGCGGAAGGTAAATGCTCACTCAACGCTTACAGCCACCTAAATCCGAAAAGACACTGATGATTGAACTTCAACGACATCCCCAACAAAAAGAACCTCCCTCGCGTATTCTTATTTATCAAAATCTTCCTACAGTTTATTTATAGATCGTTTATTTAGCACGTGTATTTTTTTCAGGAACCACCATGAAATTAATTGCCATTAATTGCATTGTTTTTAAGGAAGTTCCTCTGATTCTTGATTAGCTGTCCGCTTGTAAAAAAAAGATTGCATTGTTTTTTAGTTAAATGTACGACTGACTCATGCGAGTTTCCATAATGTCGGTCCTAAAATCTAAAAGCAAACCTCAGCACATACACGCACGCGGGTATACACATAATGACAGGCTCTCCCTCTCCCAGCGACGCCAGCTGGTTACGAGCGCGGAGGTACGGGACGTGCTCGCCGACGGCCTCAGAGGAAATGGAGGGGAAAACAACGGACTGGGTAGGGAAGATCGCACTCGTTATTTTCTTACTATCCCTCCTATATTCTCGTGTGCTATTCCTACAAATGATCCTTTTTTTTGGCTTTTTATCTTTTCCAAAGGGCTGAAACAACTGCTAGTTCTATCCCTAAATCCATAATTTGTTTTACGGAAATCTCAAACAGAAGGTACCTTTCTTTCTTCTACATACGGGTATTCGTATCTCGGAGGACGAAACGGTACAGGACGATCATGATGACCGATTTTGCTGCCATTAAAAATGAATAATAAATTTGTCAATCATGAAATTCATGCATCAGTGTTTTCAATAATATAATACTTACTCCAACCTTGCAAAGGTATACAAGATCATTATAACTCGAATTGAAATTACTTTTCGTACATTCTTGTACTAAGAACGTGATTAATCATTAGAAGACGTGTGTACTTACCGACAGGCATTATGCGGTGTTCAAAACACCGGCGATAGGTATCAGTGGCCAGCCATCGTAGATCCGTACGCAAAATTAACTTGCACCGTGAAACCTGCAAAAAATATACGTCTTGTTAAAACGGGCTCGCCAAAGTAGCATTCAATTAGTAAAAAGAATGAGCACAGGAGATGAAATAAATGCTAGACGACGAGGTTTTTGTTAAACGGAGACTGTCAAAATGGAAGTTTGGTCCTACTATAGAAGCCTCTGTCAATAACAGTTCTGTCCAAATGAACCGTCCTCTTCCTATAAGTACGATTTATTTAGTTGTGCACTTGTCGTAAATCAGCTGTTGCATTTTCATCCTATCAGGAGCTTATATGTGCTACAGTGACGTCACTACGGGGACGTTTAAATTCTGGATTGGATGAAACCTTGAACAGCTTATTTTCGTCAAGTGCAGTGTTAAATAAATCCCAGTATACTTCCTCAACAGACCAGGAGCATCTCACCCCTTTCCCGTTCCTACCCTTTCGCACCCTAGGCCCTCCGAATTGCAAGAGCCCGTGGCCATACCTCCGGCGGAGCCGATAAAGATGCGGAGGCACCTTACATCTTACACTTTAATAAGTTAGGCTTATTAAATTAGTTATTATTTTAGTTATAATTTTATTATAATTGTTATTTTTTAAATATTAGTATTGTGATAATCAC